GCAACATCCTATCTAGAAACTAAATGATAATATTAACATAAGCAGGGAAGAATAGCAAAAAAAACACATGTGTGTGACATTCTGAGGTCAATTAATAATAATAATAATAATAATAATTAAACAACAATTATAATAATAATCTAAACCTTATTTTCGTACAAATTGAAGTATTTTTAGTACGGCTGTTATTAATTAAACGTTTCCATTATCAAACATATGAAATAACCAACCAAGACACATGTATAAAGAATTACAGTACATGCGAGTCTCAACGAAAATCATTCAAATACAAATATATATCATAGCCATCAACGATAAAAAACATCATTAAAATTGTCAACAAGCATATCACAAGCATATCTTTGACAAAAGGCATGAAAATAATCGATAATTTATCGATGACGCGTCATCGATAAATTATCGATTATTTCATGCCTTTTGTGGCGGGTGGTCAATTCCCGGGATTACTATATGTTTAATACGATCCCGGATCCCGTCTTTTCTATAGGCGATCCCGGGATTTTCCCCCCACCTAATTTAGAGTTAGATAAAATTCATATTAAAAGCCTTATAATGTTCTCCAGGATTTCTGATACATGTATGGAAAAAAATCTACTCATCAGTGCTGAACTCATGAGTTAGATCCATTATTTTATTCAAATTCTTCAGAATCCATTTATTTTATAGAATTAAAACACAAAAACTTTAAAAACACGTTTTAATGTTATTACCAACACTTGTTTATAAAAACTAAAAGTATAAACAATTATTTTAGGATTTAGGTAAACTTATTTTATTGATAGTCCCTCTTTTTGAAAATGTTTTGTCCTTGGGGGTGTTTACCAGTAATAGGAATTTCACACATTTAAGTTAAAATGATAGAATTTGCCAGCTAAAATGTTTTTGTAACTTTTTCATATTAATCTTTCTTTTTCTTCTCAGATTAACCAATAGTACGAGGGATGTCCGGAAAGTTCATATACTTCTTCATTTTTTATACTATAACAATACATATGTTGTACAAATTTTGTCAGCACAATTATACATTTCTAGCTAACACATTTATAAAAGATTACTGAACTGTGAGTTACATTTGTATTTTAACAGTAGTTACATACAACATATATACATCGTCATGAAGCACTTTGACAACGTCAACGGCATCAAATTAACTTCCCGTTTACAGATTATTCAATTTCTTCCGTTTTCAACAGCCATGGTACCTGTATGGCGTATACTTAATACATGTTTGTTTCTTTGCCATTACTTTATGAATTTCATATACTAAAATTAATTTAAAAACAAAGATGTCACTGGTTCCCATACAGTGTGTGTGAGATGTCTGTCTTTACCAAAGAATTTTATAACGCAATCTACGATATTTTGGCCATGCTACTTATGGTCGTCTGGAGCGCTCTTTTACCTAATTCTGTCATTACCGCTTCTTAATCTTGTTTGACATTTAAACACAAGTTGTCTTGAACAATTTATGGCTGAATTTGTTTTTAAAGTAACGGCTAAAATCTCAGTTGGTCCCATATTAGAGTTGCTATGAAGTTAAATAACATAACTTTGCTCCGTCCTTGAATTTGACGTCATTTTGCAACACAAAATTTACGCACCTTCATTGCCTAAAACCGTCCTTAACAAGCTGTTTATTTACGTATGACGTCATAATTTTCACAAAATATCATGCAATTGTATCATTTGATGTCGCAAAATTAAAACGAGAGTTTGCGTAGAAAATACATCTTTTAGCAACTTATTATTCAAGTAGCTATCGTCATGAAATCAAAGTGCTCCGTGATTTGTTGATCATGTTGCCATGGTGATTGTCGCTTTGCGAATATTACTTTTATCATGTTTTTTAATTTAAAAATATGTAGCATATAAATAGTTTAGCAAAATATTCGATCATCATATTGATATGACTGCTTATAATAATTTTATAGTCTTGTCTACGAACTTTACGGACAGCCCTCGTAATTGCATTTTATAGTCTAAGTTTCATGCTTACGCACGTTCACCGACTTTACAGCTATTACCCCTGGTCATCGGGCTACTGGTATCTATCTATCAATCTCCCTGGGGAGTCTTTTAACTCCGCTTAGTGCAGCCGACACTCTGGCGTAACGGATTTATACCACCCTCGCAGGTACCCATTTACACCTGGGTGAAGTGAAGCAATCGCAGGTAAATTTCTTGCTCAAGGAAATTAGCAGTGCCCCTAGTGGTGTTCGAACCCGGGACCTCTCGATCCCTAATCGCGCGTCCTACCACTGGACTTCTGCTCCTACAATACTGATTATATAACGAAAAATTCTATGTCTTGACCTCACATTAACTTCTTTCCTAATATTTTACAGCCAAATATACTATGGCTGGTTTCCCAAACCCCAAAATGTTCTAATATTTTCGAATTCCCCTAAAAATGCCCTGTGCATGTTAGTTTGCAGGCCTGTGACTGAACAGTAGCTATCTTAGATCAGCTTTTTCATAATTTTTTATGAAATGGATTGAAAGAAAGACTATAGATATATAACCCTTGCCATGCTTTGAATTTTGTAAAGTTCTTTTGAATTTTAAGGGATTTCAGTATTAAAAAAGAGTTACTCAGGAATTAAGAATATTTGGGGTTTTCCCAGCTAATAACATAGGTACAACTTAAGGTTTACAATAACAGCTTCGAAAATAAGCGAAACAGGTTGACTAATCTATTGTGATTGGTAGGGCACCATGAAGCTATAATGGTAAAAGATAACGTCTATTGGAGACTGGAGCTATTGACAATATATTGCCTGGTCAGGTTATAGGAATGTTTAGACTGACCTGCCGCAAAACATGAACTGGTGACAAATGCTAATAGGTGGGATAGCCATCCTGTTAGCTCAATAGGAAGAGCTTTGGACTGTTAATTGGGTGACCCTAGTTCAATTTTTGGACAGTGCATGTCACTTTTATTGTGATTGATCATAAAGTCCTTTTTTATGGTCATTTCCACTGTACCTCTGCTCTGGTATGCACAGAAGTTATCAGTTCCTTGTGAAATTGAAGGCAACTGGTATTAGGTAAACTGATCAACTGCCTGCCCAGGAGCGATGCAGTGGCTGAACTGTGCTCTGGTAAATTCAATGTGACTTACATGTACTGCTATGAACTACCAAGAGCACCAGCACTTATTCACCAGGTGGGATAAGATGGGCGATATGTTTGTATTGATCAACCTCTTTGTGTTCTATTCATAGACCTTCTTACATCAGTACATCTGTACATGAATGTAAAAAAATGTCAACATGTAAAAACAGTATGAATTTGTACTACCTCGTAATATGATCTAATAAATAGTAATAGATCCTGAAATATTTGACAGGCCTTTAACTATAAATATATTGAAAATTATATTACCCTAACATGAACATATTGTAGATTTTGAGTGTTTTAACGAAAATTATATTTGTCACTGTTAAACCCTGCTGGATCAAGAAATGTTTACCCCTTGTCACTAGTGCATGTAATTGAGAGAGTCCAGTCTACTTACATATGTGATTTATAATGATAAAAAAAAAACATGTGAATTTCATACCATGGTGTATTGTTAGATAAAGATGATAAAGAAAACAACATGTTAAACTTTCTCATTCACACTTTTTAAGTATTTTTTGAGACTATTTTCTCCGTCAAACGTTAATGATATTCCACACTTTTGAAAGTGATGATTAGTATATATGTACATGTATGATTTAAGGACATCTATAAATAGGATATTGAATGAGTGTATGTTCAATACTGACTTTATTGAAGGAGTTAAATAATTTTGAGCTGTGTCATGACAAAACCAATATAATGGGATTGCGACCAGCATGGATCCAGACCAGCCTGCGCATCCACGCAGTCTGATCAGGATCCGTGCTGTTCAATTGCACACTCTATAACAAGTAGAGAAACTGATCGCGAACAGCATGGATCCTGAGCGGACTGCACGGATGCGCAGGCTGGTCTGGATTCATGCTGGTTGCAAACCTATTATGTTGGTTTTGTCATGACACGGCTCATTTGTATTATGTGAGCCTCTGGTGGGTACAATTTTATTTCATTCAATAATAGATTTAGTAATGAACCAACACTCATTCAATATCCTATTTTAATATCACATACCTGAAAAAGAACCATTTTCTCAGTTTAAACAATCACTTATTCATTGACGTGCCTATCATGTAACGCTAACATGATTTAGCACACTTTTACGCTATGTTTGTATAATGCAAGTGACATCACTTCAAAATATATGCACAGCATGCCATACCATTTTTACAGAGTCGCAAAAGTGTGATAAAAAGAAATATTCAATAAAGTTCAGTATTTTAATTAACATCAAATTCATGGAACTTTATAATATATCCTATTGATATGATATATCTTACACGGGCATCTTTTATTCCCTAGGCCTTTAATTGATGTTTCTTATTCATGGTGAATATTTTATTCCTTTTGCCTTAAGTGTTTCTTTTGCAAGTATCGGTTAGTATAAACTTAAATCAGTTTAATTTGTAGAACAATTGCTATAACACTTGAGAATAAGGTTTTAAGTTCAAGATGTATATGCATAGATAGTATTGCATACATGACAGTAAGTTAAGTAGAAAAAAAAACACACATATGACTTGTAAGAGACATGTGATGTACTTATGGGTCAAAGACTAAAAAAAAAAAATGAAAAAGTTATTTTTCTTCTACACAGGTAAATAAATATCCATTTGATTAATTTTACCCTGACAGTACATTTAAATACCTTAAAATCTTGTCTGGTTTTTGTTTTTAGTTGGGAGAGTTTTTGACATAAAATTATTTTATCATCAATCTTGTTTAATTTTGAACTGTTTTTTTTTTCCCCCTAAAATAATTCATCAGTTATGAAATTTGAATATTTAATTAGGTTATTTCATTTATAAAAAGGATATTTAAGTTCATTGTTAATATGTTCAGATTATTGTTTATTTCAGGTTAACCAGGGGCATACATGTAGACGAGCTTTATGCAGACTGGATTTTTGTTTGGTCTTAAATATCTGAAAACGGACTGGTTTAACTATTTTACTTGTGAAACCATAAGTTACGACCAAATTACCATATTAGATGAACTGAGACGAGAAAGGCTGGATTTGTGCCTATAATGTTAGGTTTAATATAAACATTGTATTTGGTTTATGTTAAACTGTATCCTAAATACGAGAGATTTGAAAGATGAAGTTTGCCGAACATTTGGGAGCCCATATAACACCAGAATGGCGCAAACAGTATATTCAGTACGAGGTAACGTATGCTTGTGTATTTCATTTACCTTATTTCAGCACACTTTGAGCACAAAGTCCCCAAAAGTTGGGTTTTGTGATTGCGTTATGCCTGTGTGAAGCGTGTTAGAGTATAAAATTGAACACAATAATGGAAAAATGTAAAGTTATTTTGAGTTTTACCTTTGCACTGTCAATGTAATCTTGGATAATCATAATATCACTTTAAATAAGAAATAACAAAATGTTAATGTAGCTTTCTCATTGGATAGTTTGAAACCTAAGATAACTTAAGTTAACCAATCACAGAGACTCAGTCTTGCCTAGTTCTGTTTTTTTTTTTTTTGACATACATTATATGATTGAAAATAATTCCGTAATTGTGGTATTAATAGTCAGTCTTTTGCAGAAAATTGGAAATTACTGGTCAGTTATCCAGGAAAGCTTGTCTCTGGTACATGTAGGTGGATCCACATCAGACATATGAACATAAATCAGCTTAAAAACAAAGATAAACAAACAAAGACAATATTCCTACTGCTAATATTCAAAGTCATAATTGTAAAGAAAATCTTCAAATAATGTTTTTATTTGCGATTTGTTTTCTCATTTTTCTCACAGTTGATGAAAGACATGTTGTACCAGGCACAGGAGCAAGCCCCGTCGGAAGAAGGTTTGTTTGATATAGCATAGAATTAAGACTTGAAGTGTATAAAGCTATATAACTAGTACTGCAAAAATTATAATGTACTTGATTATCTACGTAGTCACTTAAAACTGAAACAATACTGTTTAAACAGTTGTTCTTCTACATGCTTTACTATATGGTTATTCTACATGCTTTACTATATGGTTATTCTACATGCTTTACTATATGGTTATTCTACATGCTTTACTATATGGTTATTCTTCATGCTTTACTATATGGTTATTCTTCATGCTTTACTATATGGTTATTCTACATGCTTTACTATATGGTTATGCTACATGCTTTACTATATGGTTCTTCTACGTCTTTTACTATATGGTTATGCTACATGCTTTACTATATGGTTCTTCTATGTCCTTTACTATATGGTTATGCTACATGCTTTACTATATGGTTCTTCTACGTCTTTTACTATATGGTTATTCTTCATGCTTTACTAATATGGTTATTCTACACAGTGCTTTACTATATGGTTATTATGCATTATTTCTGTTGGATAAAGTAAAAGTGTGACATTTTCTAATTAACAAAGCACTGCAGTGACTGGTGGTGTTTAAGTCAAGTATAGACAGTATGCTATGCGGGTGTTTTGCGGCTTTCAAAACACAATTAACTACGATTTTACTTGTCATAAGTCAATTTGAATTGATATAATTCATAATTTAATACAGGTAAAAATTAGAAACATCGTAAACGTTGAGAATGAAAATCAGATCAATTACGTTAAAACATGTAAATGTGGGGGCTTTAATTACAAGTTCAGTATTTGAAAGTGAGTGAAATGTAGAATTTTTTGTTCACAGGGAACAACAAACAGTTTTTTCTTAGCATTGTAAGACGTATATGTATCGTTGCAAGCATATATTAATTATTATCTACTTATCAATGTAAATAGTTACCATCTTTGTACTCTTCTCTTGGAAATAAACAGCCCTTAAACGTGGTTTAAAAAAAAGATGTACATGTAGTAAAATGGAGCAAACAACAGAATTTTCTGACATCATTGGAGCTTTAAACAAAATTATTCTATTTTTGTTATAACTTCTTTGATGCAAATCATTACAATATGACATAATATTATTACAAAAGAAAAAAATATTTACAAGTGTTTATTAATACTGAAAATAGAAAGAGGATGAGTTATTATGGAAAATATCTCACTTTACATAATTATTTTCATTTCTTGAAATTTATCTTATATTCAGATGTTGACCAAAAACAAATTGTGTTTACCTGATTAAAATCATTATGCATTTTATATGAGTATATGTATAAACATTTTGAGGTGGCATTGTATTAAAAAACACTGGTAAGCATTGGTCGTTCAACACGTTAATTTTGTACAGGAAAAAACACATTCATGAAGAAAACTTAGTGAGAATGTTGGTTATTCAGTGGATTCACTGTAAGTAAGCTGCATGTAGTATCTTATATGGAAGAGTTAATGATATTTAATTGAAATCATGCATTTTATATAATTATATTTATGTACATGTAACTGTATATTTAGCATCAGGAATGGTAAGAAAAGCCACATATTCTTAGGTCAAGGGAACAACATTTACACCCGTATATCAGTAAAATATCATAAAATTTAATGCTTTAATTTTACGCTAAAGAAATGCATAAATTAACCAACCATTTTAAAAAGTTGCCTAGCCTTAAAGGAACTCCACTGAGGTCCAAAAGCCTAAAAACATAAAGTTTGAATTTCTTCCATAGATCAGCTGGGGCATTTAAAACAGAAATATACAATATATATGTATAAGAGAAATATACAGAAAAATGAATTGAAAATCATATTTTTGAGCCATTCTTAGCGCGATATGAGTATTAAAAAAAGTTGCAAAGCTTTTCAGTTAACTTAAAAACAGAGTGAGCGAGTAATCTAAAATTTTGTACACAAGATATTGGTCAAGACGGACATCAAATAGAACATTTTATCTCGAAAAATTATTTCCAGTCCCGTAATGTCAAAATACCACAGTGGGAGTCCCTTTAATTGCTCATGTAAAAACTTGAAAATTCATAATTATTCAATCAAATTTCTTACCTCCAAAAGTAATCCTGTTCTCGAGAAAGTTCATTCATAAATTTGTCATGTTACACGTTAGACTGAGAAAATGTTCTTGGCCATGAATGCAATTTTCTGTTGGAAAATAGCTGTTTAAATAATACTATTTCATAAGAGTATCAAATTAAAATTCCATTAAGGAAAAATCGTCTGAGAGAATTTATGGTTTCTTGTTATAATTTAATGCTACAATTAATACTTATTTCACACTATTAAATGACTTTTGGGCTCATTGTAAGTTATTGGGAAATATAATTATATATTAAAAATAAAAAATGACCGAATAATTTGATTGTTTTGCATTAATTTTCTGAGATCAAAGTTGTGCATTTGACAGCCTTGGTTTTTAAGTGCATTTTATATAGTATTTACGATAATGAAATAAAAGCTATGCCCATGACATATATTTGTGATGTTTAAAACTAAGTGTTAATTTGCAATGAAATGCTTATGTCAAATTTCTTTTGTCATTAAAATAAGACAGTTATGTGCCCGTAAATGATAATGCATGAATGATAATGCAGTGCAGTCATGTTATTTACTTGTAATAAGCAGAAAAATCGCAGGCAATCTGACAAAAGTTCAGATCTACTTATTTCTTACATGTAGATCTAATTGCCACTGTATATTTTTTGCATTCATTGTGATATGGATTTCCTGAGAAATCAATGCAATGCAATCAAACCGTCCTTTACAGATAGGCATTTGACGAAGTATAAAAATATTGATGTCAGTGGAAGTAAAACCGCATCGTTTTAAAGATTATTGGCTGTTTGAAAGATCACGAGAAGGTGACAACCTATTGGTGATTGTCAGATCCTAATGCATAGCAATATTTAGGAGCTGATTGTAATCATATTAAATCTGAGGCTAGTGCGATAGAATCTATAAAATTGCATAACTAGTAGCCAGTAATGAGGGCAACTCAGCAGGCACCACTCATATAAATCATTTATAATGGAATATATTATTAAAGAGTTTTTCCTTTGTGAAAGGTATTGCAGCATTTTTCTTAGCTCAACAAGTGGAGCTTTTGTCATGACTTTCTCATTGGCATTGGTGTTGGAATCGGCGTGTGCATTGGTTAACCTATCCAGTAAGGTCCATTTTCTCAGAAACTATAAAAGTTATTGACTTCAAACTTGATATACATGTTTATTGTGATAAGAATACTCCCTTTCAAAAGGGCAGATAATACTAAAATTATTTTATGCATACTGAGTAATATCCCTTTCCCAACTTAGATTTTTTTAAAGTATTTTACCTCAAACTTGATTTACATGTTCAATATCAAAATATGACACTGCTTAAGAAGGGTAGATAATCCTGAAATTCATTGTAGCAAAATTATGCCCCTTTTGAATTTCATTTTTAGCTCACCTGACCACGAAGTGGTCAAGGTGAGGTATAGTGATGGGGCTATGTCCGGCATCCGTCGTTGTGCGTTGTGTGTAGTGCGTCGTCAACAATTGGGTTGTTAACAGTCTAGCAGTCACAGTTTTGATTGGATCATCATCAAACTTTGTCAGAATGTTTGTCTCAATGAAATACAGATCGAGTTCGAAGATGGGTTATCTCGGGTCAAAAACTAGGTCACAGGAGCTAAAAATAGAAAAAGCTTGTTAACACTCTAGAGGCTGCAGTTTTCATCCAAATATTCTGGAAATTTGTCAGGAAGGTTGTTTTGATGATATCTAGGTCAAGATCGAAGATGGGTCATCTCCGGTCAAAAACTAGGTCACAGGAGCTAAAAATAGAAAAAGCTTGTTAACACTCTAACAATTGGGTTGTTAACAGTCTAGCAGTCACAGTTTTGATTGGATCATCATCAAACTTTGTCAGAATGTTTGTTTCAATGAAATACAGATCGAGTTCGAAGATGGGTTATCTCGGGTCAAAAACTAGGTCACAGGAGCTTAAAATAGAAAAAGCTTGTTAACACTCTAGAGGTCGCAGTTTTCATCCAAATATTCTGGAAATTTGTCAGGAAGGTTGTTTTAATGATATCTAGGTCAAGTTCGAAGATGGGTCATCTTTGGTCAAAAACTAGGTCACAGGAGCTAAAAATAGAAAAAGCTTGTTAACACTCTAGTGGCTGCAGTTTTCATCCAAACATTCTGGAAATTTGTCAGGAAGGTTGTTTTGATGATTTCTAGGTCAAGTTGGAAGAAGGGTCATCTCAGGTCAAAAACTAGTTGGAAGATGGGTTATCTCCGGTCAAAAACTAGGTCACAGGAGCTAAAAATAGAAAAAGCTTGTAAACATTCTAGTGGCTGCAGTATTGGTTCAAATATTCTGGAAATTTGTCAGGAAGGTTGTTTTGATTTCTGGGTCAAGTTCGAAGATGGGTCATCTCCGGTAAAAAACTAAGTCACAGGAGCTAAAAATAGAAAAGGCTTGTTTACACTCTAGTGGCTGCAGTTTTGATTAAAATATTCTGGAAATTTGTCAGGAAGGTTGTTTTGATGATTTCTAGGTCAAGTGCTAAGATTGGTCATGTCCGGTCAAAAACTAGGTCACAGGAGCTAAAAATAGAAAAATCTTTTTAACACTCTTGTGGCTGCAGTTTTGATCCAAATTTCCTGGAAATTGGTCAGGAAGGTTGTTTTGATGATTTGTTGGTCAAGTTTAAATATGGGTCGTGTCCGGTCAAAAACTAGGTCACATTGCCCAAATATGGAAAAATCTTTATAACACACTAGAGGTCACATGTTTGACTCAGTTGTCATCAAACTTGGCCATGATGCTTGTTTAAGACATTGCTTGGATGCGGTTTTGTCAGTTGAGCGATCCAGGGCCATCATGGCCCTCTTGTTTAAAGTTAATGTCTCAAAAACTGTCGAGGTTAATCACTTCAAACTTGAAATACATGTACTTAAGTTTTGTTAAAATCGAATGCATTTCTAAAGGCCAGGTAATTTTATAATCATTTTTTTGTCAGTCATGCCCCCTTATTGACTTTGAATTTCCTGGTTAACTTTATCAGTTGAGGTCCATTTCTTAAAAATTATCAAAGATATTGACTTTAAACTTGGAATACTAAATGTCTTGTTGACATACAAATTTGAAATGCATATCTCAGGGGCAGATAATCATAGCTGAGTTATTTTCCCTTTTTTTAGACGTAGAATATTTCCCTTTTTCTCTAAAACTGTAAAAGGTATTTAGTTCAAACTTGAAATATTTGTTCACTATCAAGGGCAGATAAGTCTGTCAAGAACGTTGGCAGATTGAGAATTATGCCCCCTTGTTTTAGGTAGCTTTTATTTACTATCTTACATTGTGAAAAATAGAATTCGCTTTCCACAAATGGCAATGTCTTAAAAAAGGGTAGTATTTTTAAGTGTATTGATTTTAAAATGACACAGGACTGCCTGTCATTTTTCCAGTACATATTTGCCCACCCCCTCATCTTCACCTTCCACGGTAATGTTACAAACTAGGCATTGAATTAATAACATAATTATGATTTAAGAAAATTGGCATGTTCTTCCTAAACTATTATAACAAGACAATTTAATTGAGCACTTAACCTTTTTTGCAGTTATATCCAATAAATATGTAGTATATAAAATTGCCGGGAACCATTCTTATCTTCAGGTGATTATGTTCTCAAAGAGATTCACATGTTCCGACATGTTACAAATGTAATGGAACACTTAAGATCTTGTTGTTTTTATGTTTGTCAGATGTTTCAATTTTGTCTCCAGGTTTTCTGAATTATTGAATTAAAACTGAGGGATATTGCAGTTTTAATAGAAAAACAATTTATCGGCGTATTTGTTTCTCAGAAAATTACAAATGGTATATACAATATAGCTATAAAATATTTCATGGTGTAAATTTTTTTTTTTTTTTGCTTTTATGTCATTTTGTTTCTTTGACATTTAAAGCAATTTTAGATAAGTAATGTGCAAAGATTTTTTTTCCTGAATTATGTTCTTACAGCAATATGTAAAGATAAATAGTTTTTTTAAGAACAAATATTAATGTCTATTTAGGACTTGTACATTTACAATATATGATTAATGTCATAATAATATTTGTTTGTGTCCAGTACTTTTACATTTGTTATAAACAGCTAATTATTTGTATAATTTAAGTCCTCATGTCCTTGTGTAGTAAGACCTTAGATAATTCAACTTTTTACTGGACAATTTTTAATGCAAAATCAACTCAAAAAAGTTAATGTTATTTTACTTTTTCTATTGCGACAATTTTCTATGCCAGAATACTGAATACTGTCATTTGAAATTGGGTCATGGACACTGAAGCTATTTATAGATTTTTCATATCCAGTAAAATTCATATTAAACTCTCCAGGGCTTAACATTTTCCAAAATCATTACAACACATTTTTTCCTAAATCCAAACTCATTGTAAATACATTTAGTGTTAGCAAGTATTGGTGATAACATTTAAAAGTGTTAAGGTTTTAAAGTTCATATGTTTACTATAAAAGAAAATGGATTCTGAAGGATTTGAATAATATTATAGATTTACTCATGAGTTCAGCACTGATGAGTTGATTTTTGCCATATCAAAAAGCCTGGGGGTTGGGGGGGTTGGGGGGCTTTTTATTAGGAATTTTACAGTATATTGTAGTAGCCCCTATAATTATAAGCTTCCATGATCATGACCCAGTTTATAAAGATTTCCGTGAATTCTGGCCAATTTCTGAAGATATATGTACAAGTTTGCATAATATTTCTCTAAAATGAAAACAAAGTTGTAAGGGGGGTATACTGGAATCAGCTTGTCCGTCCGGACGTCTCCCCATCCGGCCGTCCGGCTGTTTTTCCTTGTCCGCCCAATAACTTGAGATTCCTTTGACCCACAGTCTTCATATTTGGCATGGAGGTTAGTCATGATTAGTAGATGACCCCTATTGATTTTGAGGTCACTGGGTCAAAGGTCAAGGTCACAGGGGCCTTGACTAAAGAAAGCATGTTAGCCCAATTACTTGAGATTCCTTTGACCCATGGTCTTCATATTTGGCATGGAGGTTAGTCATGATTAGTAGATGACCCCTATTGATTTTAAGGTCACTGGGTCAAAGGTCAAGGTCACAGGGGCCTTGACTAAAAACAGCTTGTCCGCCCAAAAACTTGAGATTCCTTTGACCCACAGTCTTCATATTTTGCATGGAGGTTAGTCATGATTAGTAGATGACCCCTATTGATTTTCAGGTCAAAGGTCAAGGTCACAGGGGCCTTGAATTAAAAAAGCTTTTCTGCTCAATTGATTAAGAATGCTTTGGTCAACAGTCTTCATATTTGGTATTGAGGTTGTTTATGACTAGTAGATGATCCCTATTGATTTAAAGGTGAATGTGTCAAAGGGATTTTTACTATAATAAGCTTGTCTGCTCAAATGCTTGAGAATACCTGTCCGCAGTGTATTGATTTTGACATTTTCACATTTGAAGCATGGAGAATACATAACTAAGCAATGCACTGGCTTAGTAACCTCAGATTTGGCAGGGAAGTTGTCCTTGAGCTCTAAATTGTTGATTTTGACAAAGTGGTATGCTGGGGTATTCGTGCCATGACAGTGGCAGTTCTAGTTATTTTTGTTAAAATAACACCAAGCAGCATCCATTGTTATGATGCTACTAAATTTTTTGTTTCTTTATAAGGTATACATTTAAATTATACATTTTCCTGTTTCAGTAACTGATGAAGGAATTATTCAGCGATACTTTGCACGTTTTGATGAGAATTTCTTCCAGTTTTGTGACAAAGAGCTTGCAAAAATAAACACATTTTTTTATGGTGAGTTGTTATGTTATATGCTCCAATGTAATACAATCAAATTACAATGTATGGTGTAAAGTTTAAAAAAAAGCACCTAAAACCAAAAGGGGAGGTAATGAGTTCATCAATCTTAGTGGCGACTGCAGGCTGGTGACCATGTTCATAAAACTGTCTTGTTGAAATTGCAAGCTTGGTCGTAAGTCTCTGTCATAAGATAAGATCGCAGTAACGTCTTTGTTGATAAAACTGCACCCTGAACTTAAATCAGACTGAAACAAAGGTGAAAAGCTGTTGACATTGTATTAGCCTCTTAATTGGCCTCTTAAATGGCTCAGAAAAATAGTGGTTTAAAATCACATGATCATGAAATTCAAAATTATAGGCGACACATTCTGCTTGTTAAAATTTCAGGAATACACCTGTGTCTTACTATTATAGTTGCAAGGTTGGCTAAAATAAGGCAAAATAATTTTGTCAAAACGAGGCAAAATGATTGAAAGAAGCAAAAAATTATATGACCAGTTTGTCAAAAATCAAGATGGAATTATAACATCATCCGTGACTTTAATTGATAAATCCAAATTCACCCTTGTTCAGCAAACTTCAAGCAGCAGTTGTTTATCCCTGCATACTGATCCCATCTGTTCAAACAGCTTAAAGGATATATGCTAGAATGTATTTATTACTTTTACCCTGGTTTTTAATAATTTAAGATATATATTTACTCTTTATTGTTATGTAGATCTACATGTATTTAGTCCTTGATAATTTAATTTTAGCTTGCATGAGATACTCTTTTTATTCCATGTGATATAAACCATTTGAGCCATGTCACGCCAAAACCAACATAATGCGTTTGCGACCAGCATGGATCCAGACCAGCCTGCGCATCGGCACAGTCTGTTCAGGATCCATGCTGTTCGCTTACAAACCCTATAACAAGTAGAGAAACTGATAGCGAACAGCATGGATCCTGATCAAACTGCGCGGATGCGCAGGCTGGTCTGGATCCATGCTGGTCGCAAACTCATTATGTTGGTTTTGTCGTGACATGGCTCATTTCATAAACTCTCTGTCATTGACGTAATTGCAGAGATATTATAGCGAAATACCAACCATAATTATGCCTGTAGACAGCAAAAATCTATTTGGTTACATTATGTAGAATGATAGTTTTTTTTGCTTTTCTTTGAAAGTTTGAATGTATACTGGATTAAGAATTTTGGTTTTCAGTTTCACAGTACATGTAATTAAATTCTTTTGTTACAGAGAAGATATCTGAAGCTACGAGAAAATATGCGAGTCTTAAGTCAGAACTACAGCATTACACGGATCACGAGAAAAAGCCGTCAACTCTTCACCTACGTAGACGGAGATCCAGTGTCGCTTTCTTCAAAGGTACAAAATAATGAAACCAGGTGTCATAAATAGAGAGGATACTGCAATATCATCATTATTTGTGGAGCACTTATTTTCGTGGTTTTCGGGGATAGATCAATCCATGGAGTTAAGAACAAACGAAATGTTATTTTGTCTGCTGTACAAATATTTTAGTACATTATACAATCAGACAATTAACAAATTTAAAAATCCACAAAAATGGCATTTTTGACAGAACCACGAAATTTCATGCCCTTGACATTGAGTGATTTGAATGAGTGTGGGTTCGATACTATATTTATTGAACGAGTTGAATAAAACAATATCATGTGAACAAACTTTGCGTACATAAGATGATGTCAGACATTACATGAAACCATTGGTTTATTTCAAATAATGGTTAATTCTTTAACTCTTGGAACCAAAAATGATGAGCCTTTGCCATTAATATACAGCCAGGCCAGCCTGGACTGCCATGCAGTCTGACCAGGCTGTATATTGTTTCCTTACGTGCTTCAGATTTTTATCTTGATATCACTAAAATTAATAATGGACCATTCCAAAATTATAAGCTTGATTAATTATAGTCCATTTAAGAAATTCAGTAGGTTGAGGGTTAAGCCACATCTTTAACAATTTTGTTGTTGTTGTTTCCAGAAAAGGAGCACAAGGAACTGAACAGAACGCGCAAGCTGCATGACCTGAAGCTGGCCTTCAGCGAGTTTTACCTCAGTTTGATCCTTCTACAAAACTACCAGACGCTCAACTTTACTGGCTTCAGGAAGATTCTTAAAAAACATGACAAGGTAAATGCTTGAAAACCACAAGTTAACATGCCCATTAATGGTAAAAGGTTAACATCTAGTTATTTGGATAAGATCAACATCATGTTGTTAATATTTTCATTTAAAAAACATGATGATGTTGACATTTACAAAACATGATGTGATAAAAAACTCATAAAAAACCTGGGACATTATATAATTTGACAACAATTGGAGATTACTCTGCCTCGTCTTTACATCCTATTAGTCACGTTCGCCACCATTTTGTTATGCTGATCATTGTGAAAGATCATTCTTTTAGTCTGTAGTAAATTGTATAAATAAGAGAAATATAAGCCAACTGGCATAAGATTTTAATAGTACTTTCCTATCTTAATAGTCTTTATATGATTTTATGAAAATTTATCAATGAAATTTTTAATATACAACATTAACGGTAATATATGATTTTAACGCTTATTTTTATCAATTGATCAGCTGTCAATGGGAAGCCAGCATAGACCTCTTATGTGTTGTTTGTTGCTTGTCTTGTTAAGTAAAAACACATAAGATTTTTTTTTTATTAAAAATATGATTATGTAAACTCTGTCATGAAACATGGTAAGTTTATAATCCAAAATTATGGTGTGGTAAACACTTACTATAACTATATATTTCCAGAAACATGATGTGGTAAACACTGTCTTAGAAAAACATGGTAATGTTGACATTAAAAAAAAAAAAAACATGATGTGGTAAAGTGTCATCAAAAGACATGAAAAAAATTTCATCCCAAAAACATGATCTGTAAACACTCTCATTGTTATAACTGAACAAATATTTTTTACGTAGTTAATGAAGACAACAAGAGGTTTGGTATGGAAGCAGACACATGTAGACACGGCAGCATTTTATACAAACAAGGAAGTGGATCATCTTATCTGTGAAGTTGAGGTAATGTCTCAGATAATTGAGCCGCGTCATGACAAAACCAACATAGTGCGTTTGCGACCATCATGGATCCAGGCCAGCCTGCGCCTCCACGCAGTCTGATCAGGATCCAAGCTGTTCGCTATCAGTTTCTCTACTTGTAATAGGGTTTGTAAGTGAACAGCATGAATCCTGATCAGACTGCGTGAATGCGCAGGCTAGTCTGGAACCTTGCCGGTCGCAAACACACTATTTTGGTATTGTTATGGCACGGCTCATATTATGTATTTAACTTAGTGGATGTAATACATGTATGTCAATAATGTAGAAGTCAGTTAAACTTTACCCCACTAAATGTCTTATCTTTCTTTTAACCTTGAGAAAATTGTATAAATCTTTTATGAAAGTTCCAAAATATGTTCTAGATCCGACTAGGGAACTGTGTAGACCATGATTACAGTAGATGACATGGATGTGTTGACAGATCTTGGTCTGCACTGGGTGCATAGGTAGATTCTGTAACCTAGCAGGCTACGGGTTAACTTAATGTCTTTTTTAATCTCTGTGGCTTAATTGTTAAGGTCACTGGCCATTGACCTCTTGGCATTATGGGTTCAAGTTGTGTGAGTTATTCAGCTAGCTAACAGAAGACTTGTGGTTCTTCTTTGGTCTTCTGTCTTAAAAAAAAAAGCTTGAATATGGCTAGATGACCTTAACAGTATTTATACGACTTTAGATCCTACAAAAAAAATGAAGATTTGCTAAATAGATTATGTATTTACTGAGAAGTGCTGTACATGTGTTGGAATTAGTTATTCAAAGAGCTACACACTCCTGCATTATTTTCAGGTGGTTTTAAGTTTCTAACATTAAATCCAAGTCTGTTATTAGACTGTATTTCTTTTCTTTTTTTAGCAAAATGTGACATCAAATTTAGAAGGTGGTAACAGATCGAAAGCCATGAAAAGGTTGAGGGTGCCCCCTCTTGGTGATAAGGTAGGAGGAAAAATTATATATTCATCATAACATGCTGTCTATAAATAACATTTAATTAAGTAACAAAGTATGTAAAATAGGAGGTTACTGTCCAAGGCCCATAACCCTTCACTTGGATTTTGACAGAATTATGGCCCTTTTTGAACTTAAAAAAATTCTACATTATCCAGGCTCTTATTGTTTTACAAACAACCATAGAAAATGGCCGAGCACTGTCTTACAAACAGCTTTTTTTTTTTACTTTCCAGAAGCATTTATTTGTATCCTACATTTTCATTTTCCTATTTTTTTGTCGGCATTTGTCAGGCTATTACATAAAATTGTGTGATCAAACTGATTTGTTTTACTAATTCAATGGCTATAAAGATATTTTTCTGTCGATATTTATAGGAAAATCCTATGACAACATTCCGAGTAGGACTATACTCTGGTGTGGTAGCTGTGCTTCTTATTGTCATCATTGTGGCAGGTAAGATCTATAAATAGATTCTTATTCTATTTTTAGACTAAAACATTCTAATTTTAGACTAAAAAGTTTTATTTTTAGCTTGACTGTGTAAATAAACGATTGTATTATATGAAATCTTTTTTGAAAGAATTTGTTTTACAATTGTGCAAATATTGTGATGTTTACCTGATTTTCACCTGCAGTTTTTAATGGATTTTGTGTTAGGCTAATTTTAACTGTACCTCTCTTTTTTTAAAGGTTGAAAAGTTGAGAAAGTCACACATTTTGTACTCTTCCTTTAAGTTTAAGTTTTTTATAATGATCGGTTTGAGAATTCATTCTAGTCACAAGTTCTTGTTAGTTTATGTATAGGATTTGAAAGTATCAGTTGGTGAAAAGAAGTGAAATTTTGATTGAACTCACATCATGTAAAATGAACAACAAACTGTCTATTTAATTTTTGTGTCTTTACTTTAAACATGTTTAAATTGTCACCTGTGTGCAGTTACGGGTAAATTTCTATTAAATTATATAAAGAGTTAACCTGTTATTGCACAAAGGTGACAAAATTAAGTTTAATAATATATTACAAATATTCAAACATTGTAATGGATGAGATTTTTGGATATATTTCAGCATTTTTTATCGAGGTTGATGGGCCATGGGAACCAGCATTGAGAATGTACCGTGGAATGTTTATTGTAATACTAGACATCTTCCTGCTTGGTATAAACACGTACGGCTGGAGGTCATCAGGGGTCAACCATGTGCTGATCTTTGAGATTGATCCGCGACACCATCTTACACATCAACAGCTCATGGAGGTACGTTCAGATAGATCAGTGATTAATTGACACACACTGCCTAATGTAAAATATCAAAGTACATGTACCAATTTTCTTTTAGAATTTTCCTAGACTGTTTGTTAAATTGTCTTTCGTCTAATTCAGATCAAGGTATTGTTATTGATTTATAAGAAAGAGCAAAGGAAAATAATGTTCAGAATTTAATGTTACAATAAATGCCACTCCCAACCATGAGCGAGTGAATTAAAATTTGTGATCAGCAAAGTTTTAACTTCTGAAATGAAAATAATAATTAAAAGTTGTGAATTGTAGTAAGATAGATGCTGTTTGCATCTGAAAATTTGATTCAAAGATTTAATTTCAAGTTTTTAGACAAATATAACTAATTAACTTCTTTTAGGTGACCATCTTTCCCCTATCCCCCATCCCTTCACACACAAACACACACATGCACACACACACACTTAAGCTTTCTTGTCATGTAAAATGAGAAGCATTTTTAATTTTAAATTTAAGTGTGAATTTATTTCAAAGGTTGTATGTGTAAGTGTAAGAAGACTATATACATTCTAATATGTTTTGAATTTAAGAACGACTTTCACTGCGTATTTATATATTTTCAGTTGTCAACAGGACTGGCTGTGATATGGTGTATCAGTACAATGCTGTTTTTATTCAGTGGTGTATTTGGAGTATCTGGCTATATATTCCCTCTTGCCCTCGCTGGCTTCCTCTTCTTGTTCCTCATTAACCCAATCAAAATGTTCCATCACAGTTCAAGGATGTGGCTTCTTAGAATATTGGTGAGTATTTTTCAAGCCACTGTTTCTATATATAGGAACACACAAGCTAAATATAGTAAAAATTTAAATTTCTTCCACTCATTTGATTGAACTTGTTATAAAAAGATATCATATGCAGCTTCCTCTGTCTGTGGTTACATAGCTTCCATTTCATTTCATATTTACACCTTCTCCTAGCATTTTATCGCCACTTTGTCCATCTGTCCGTTCGCTTTTCTTGTCTAGGACATAAAATGAATCTACAAGAGGTATCAACAAGAAACTTTGTGGTTGAGAGATCTCATTGAGTAGAAGTGCAGTGCATAAGAACTGTAACTCTGTTTGCCTAATTTTGGAGTTACTGCCCTTTGTTCATTTTTACACTTTGAACTTTGTCCGGGACATAACTCTTAATGTACAAAAGATATCAGCATGAAACTACTTCTCTGTGTCCAAAACCTATTTGGGGAGCATAACCCGGTACTACCAGCTCTTGTTAACTGATATCTTCCATTTGTGGTATATTATCCCCTTTAGTAATATGTCTGTTACAATTTAAAACATTTCAAAAATTTTCTTAAGAATAAGATTGAATCTGATGGCATGCTGCTTTGACAATTTTGCTGTGACTCATAGTTACTAAAAATAACTTCATGAAAAAGGGAATTAACTTCATTATACATGTAGTTTTCATACTAATTATATTTAATGATGAATTATTCCTCTTATTACTGTATTGCTATTTTAAGAATGGATTTTTTTTATTTTTCAGTTCAGGATATTCACCGCACCATTCCATCATGTAGGGTTTGCTGATTTCTGGCTGGCCGATCAGTTAAATAGTTTGGCTACAGTACTTCTAGATTTTGAATTCATGGCGTGCTTTTATGCATTTGAAGTGGATTGGATAGGGCCTGATCGTAAGACAGTTTATTATATATATTGAAAATACTATGATAGTACTAAAATTTCAAATTCTAAATTTTTTTCTATTGTTTTTATTATATGTGCAAAATAATATAAAATTAAAGTTAGAAATAATTCTGAACTTACAGAAGTAAATGGTTCACAAGACAGTTTAGAATGAATGTTTCTGCCAATTGTTTCTTTACTCAGTCAAAAAATCAAAGTATACTTGGCCTTAGAGGGGTGTTGTTCAGTTTAAAGCCAAGACATGGCATCTTTAGAAAATTATTTTTAGATTGCTTGTTATTGCTTGTTATATAAAAATTATTATATATTATAGGTTTGCTTTACATGACAATTACTGCCACACTGCAAGTTTTCAATTTTTGGTTCATAGGATTTCTACATGTAAACCATATAGTATAAAATTGGAAAGTTTTCAATCTAGTTTGTAATTTTGTTAAATGAATAAATGATTGCGATTTTAGTCTAATTGATCTGCAAACATGTTCATTGTTGATTACATTTATTGGAACACATCATCTTCTCTGACATGTAATTAGCTGAATCATAATATTTTCAGAACCGAAAGTGTGTACGAAGCATGTGTATGGGATCCGGACAATAGTCAGTATATTACCGGCTTGGTTCCGGTTTGCGCAGTGTTTGCGACGTTACAGGGATACAAAGCTGGTGTTCCCGCATGTGATAAATGCTGGGAAATATTCAACCACTTTCCTAACAGCATTTTTCTCTACAATGTATCATCTGCAAAAAGGTTGGTATGCTATACATGTAGTTATATATCTTTAGTAATAATGTACAGGTGTGTGAAAAGTGACCACAAAAATGTTTGTCAAAATTTGATAAGAATTGAAAGGGAAAACATGTACAAAATAATTTTTTAACTTATCTTTCATTTTTAGCTCAACTACAGTCGAACTCCGTTCACTCGAACTCGGAGGGCCTGTGCAAATTTGTTCGAGAGATCGGTAGTTCGAGCCAACCGAGGTTGAACTATTATTACATAGAACATAGGCCTAAAGGTTTTCCAGCTTACATCGGTCAAATGATAAATACGTCAATATAATTGTTTGTTAGTACATCTGTTTGTCGAATACGTCATATTAAGAATTATTATCCTATTGAAAACAGTATTAACGGTACACTGTGTTAATCTATATTCATGCATATTGTAATTGGTTGAGTTCGATTGGGCGATCATTATCCAAACTGTGAACAATGTTCAAAATATATTTATATGTTTATTATGGGATGAATTTTATTTTAAACAATGAATTAATAAAATATGAAAAAAAACAACATTTTACAGCAGCATATATTTGTAGTCATTTACTAAAATAAACACGTACAAGTATCATTCTATAAATAGATTACACTGTTACAATTCACGTTTAATGAACCACAGTTGCAATTGGAGCCGTCCGGGTAAACGTCATTTATTTATTGACTTTCGCGCATTTCAGGAGTTTTTTTTCTTTTTATCGTTACTAAAGACGGCAGATATAAAATTTTATCATAACAAACAAATCGGTTACAACACCTCTTATTTTGTATCAATTAACCTTAATTGCCTTTGTCACGATCGCAAGGTGTTAAAAACATGTGTCGCCGGCTGTCAATTATTTGATACATGTCGACCCGCAACTTTTGTTGTCTGTTTGTGTTCGACCGAAAAGGTGTGATTTACTCTATATTTCTGCCGAAGGGACCAGAGATCATGTTCGAGAGTTTGAGCGATCTGAGGTAGAATAATATATATTATATAGGAATTTTGCCGGGACTGGGCATTGAGTTCGAGCAAAGGGAGGTATTCGAGCGATCCGAGTTTGAGGGAACGAAGTTTAACTGTATTCAAAAGAATAGGGAGAACTATTGTACACACCCAGGCATTGGCTTTAGTGTCAGCATCACACTTTCGTTAAGTTTTTGTGTGCAAGTTGGTATCTCCAAAATTACTTATTTGAGATATTTGATGATGATAGTTTTAGAACTTGGGAACATTGATTATAACTGGTAATAGATTTATTTAGAACTTTTTGTATATTTCAGAATTATATGGAGATGAACACAGACAATCTCATGCATTTTTCTATTTGTGGATCGTATCGGCAGTGTTCAGCTCCTGTTATACACTAACCTGGGATCTTAAGATGGACTGGGGTCTATTAGATTCCAATGCTGGTGAAAATAGATTCCTCCGGGAAGAAATTGTTTATGCCTATAAGGTATTACATTGTATATGCTTAACTTTACTGTATACAATAAGATTGAATTTTTTTAAGGAAGCATGTACCAGTTTGCTTTGCATTTGCTTGGTTAATTAGATTTTAATATTTGAAATTTAACCAGTGGCAGAGTTGCATGGGAAGACTTACATTTGTTTTTCATGATATTTTTATACCCTTATTTACAAATCTAGTTTTTCCAGTTTGTTGATTGGTTTTTCCTTAACCATTTGTGTGTAACTCAAAGTTTTTAGTTAGCCTTTGATACCAGTATAGGGTCAGGCCAGGTAGCACATTGGTGCATTTTGACTGGGCTTAAGCTTTTGACATTGAAACTCTGAAATCTAATTTTGAATGGAATTTAAGAATTCAAAGCTGTGAAAATTTATGGGTTGATTTTACATACTACATGTACTCATTATTATTTGTGAAGGATGGAATTTATCATTTAAAGTCTTTGAAAGAAAATATTGTTGGTACCTCAGCATATTGTTTTATTAGGATAATTCTGTAAAACATATATGGTAATTAGGTCATGCGAAAATCTTGCAAGCAGTATTTTTGCAAACTTTTAGAAATATCAAGATCAAGATTATTCAGTTATTTAACAGTACCCTGTACACTAAGGAAACATATATAGAATGTATCCACATTGAAAATCATATTGGTTCGTATCGATTTATTCAGGGAATAGACATATACACATACAATGTTATCACATATATCAACTTGCATATATATAAAAACACACACATAAATGCAACAAAAATAATTATAAGATTAATTAATGAGTATGTTCTATGTAACCCTAGGATTGCCCATTAAGCTAAAAGCTTATTTCCAATGGAGTCCATTTACTGTAAAATTATTACACTAACTTACATAATAATAAATGAATTATAACGAAGTTAATGCATTACAGTCATATGGTGTGAAGGAAACTTTGCCAATGGTTTTATAAAATATGTTAAGAATAATAATATACAATGTATATTGATGTTGAATTGGAAACTATATAGAGTCTGGTCAGATTGCTCTGAAATACAGTCCGAATTTATTACATGGGCAAGACAGTAATGCAACTATGAACTCACAATTAAGGTTTTTTAACATGACAGGACTGGAAATAATTTTTCAAGATTCATGTTACATTTGATGTAGATCTAGACAAATAACTTGTGTGCAAAATTACAGATGATTCGCTCTCTTTACTTTTCCAGAATGATAATTCTAATTGTGAAATGACGTAAAAATGAAAAGTTTTGCACGCTTTTCACTCAAATCAGGCCAAGAATTGCACAAAAATACCAATTTCAATTTATTTCTGTGTATATTTGAAATTATCTTTTGCACATCTACCTGTTTTAAGTGCCCAAGCTGATTTATGTAAGAATTTCAAAATTTAAGTTTTTAGGCTTTTGGACCTCAGTGGAGTTCCTTTAATGTTGATATTTTACTTTTCCTCGTTTCAGTCATACTACTATTTTGCAATTGTTGAAGATTTTATTCTACGATTTATCTGGTCGTTGACAGTATCGATAGGTGAAGGACTACTGATACACAGCGAGATTTTACGTACATTGCTTGTTTCCTTGGAAATATTTAGGTAGGCTTGTCAGTAAATTGCTTTTTCTATATTATTTCTGTAATCTTTGCTATAATAACTAATTACTATTACTATTACAGTCAATAATTTAAAGGCCCTTTAAGCCCCAGAAATACTATCTCCTGTACATTTGGCTACTTTATTGACATGTATTTTCACATTCACTGCTAATTTCATCAAGTAATTAGCATGTAAAAAGCATTTAAATAGTTACAAAAAATATATATTAACATTATAAAACCCAATTTTTGTCCTTTCTGAAAAAGGGAAAAAAAATATTCATTTCTGAGGCATACTGTAGCTTTTCACATTTTTATATCCTGATTATATTTCGTTTTAAAGTAAATTGATTCTAAATTTATGTTAAGACTAGGTACTGGCATATTGCACACAGTTAAGACACATCGTAGTATAGATTAGAATCTTCAATTTAACCTTTTAATTTGACATTTAATTTCAGGCGATTTGTATGGAATTTTTTCCGTTTAGAGAACGAGCATTTAAACAACTGTGGTCAATTCAGAGCCGTTAGAGATATCTCTATCGCTCCGATAGACTCGAGCGATCTCTCGCAACTCATCGAGATGATGGACGAGGATGACGGAGCGTATACGCATAGATCTGAAAAACGGAGACTTATCGGAAAGTAGGTGCTCACCATGTAGCGGGCTACTAAGTGTGGATTTTTCTAAAAAAAACAAATTAACATCATTTTTGGTACTTTGAACGTAGTGGTGTGCCTAACTTTTTTTTTTCAGCACTTGTTTTTTCTATCTAGTGGTGTGCTAAATATGTAATTAAAGCACCTGATGTATCAGGGTTTTTTTGTTGTTTTTTTTTAGTGATTTTTAACAGTTTTGTAGTGGTTTTTGTTTTGTTTGCTTAGATATGAGCTTTGCTGTTTTTGTTTTGCTTTTGGTTTTTTTACGATTGATTTTGTGGTGTTTTGTCTTAGTTATAACAGACACCTTTGGTTTACCCAGGATAAGCATTGGCCATGTGCCCCTAAAAATAAGAGTAAAAAAAATTAGAATTTTCATACTCGTTTTAAATTTGAATATGAATTATGAGTTTCAAGATTAGCAAATTTTGAATAAAATTATTGGAAATTGGCTTTCACTTTTCCTACACCCTAAGAAAATGCAGACCAATCGTCTTGCAATTCAGATTTATCCTGGGTAAACCAAAGGCTGAAAACATTCACCAATTTTGCAGGCTTTGTATACTTAAAGCACTTCTGTTTACTAAAATGTATCATATTTACATGAATAAAGTTTTAAAACTTTGCATAGAAAGGCATATTATGTCCCAAAACTGCTTATATTTTTCAAAAACTTTAATTTCTGGTGATCTTATACCTTCTAAAAAGTTACTCACAAGCCAAGTACCGTAACCATATTTTGCTTCTGTTTTAGCAAAAACTAAAATTATAATAATTTAGTATTTTGTATGGAAGTCAAAGTACTACTTGTTTTGATTTGATAATTTTACAATCAGTAGGACTTCTACATGTGATAAGCATCTAAAATTATCTAAAACCAGTATTTAGACGTTACAAAGTCCATGTTTGCCCTTTTATTACTAAAGAAAGAAGAAAAGAACCTTTTCTGAGGCATAATTTGCGTTTAAAGCATTCTTTCTATTATAATTTTAAATTTTTCATGATAGTTATAAATTTGGCATGTTATGTGGATAATCCAGATTGGTTAAATGAGCCGCGTCACGACAAAACCAACGTAATGGGTTTGCGACCAGCATGGATCCAGACCAGCCTGTGCATCCGCGCAGTCTGATCAGGATCCATGCTGTTCGCTTACAAACCCTCTAACATGTAGAGAAACTAATAGCGAACAGCGTGGATCCTGATCTGGTCTGGATCCATGCTGGTCGCAAACGCACTATGTTGGTTTTGTCATGACACGGCTCATATATTTATTGTACATAGTAAAATCAGTTATGAAGAACAAAATTTTACTTAATATGTAAGTAAAGGGAGGTAATCAATACATCCAAAATGTGATCTTTTTCTTTGCTATACTTTAGATTTATCAATATAATTTTGTAACTTAGTAATGAATTTGTTTTCTATTTAACTAAACTGTTTTAAAACTAAACTGCTGTGAATGTCTTATTTTGTTCTGTTTTGATCATTTCTGGCTCTCCAGAACTAAAAATGATAGAGCTTTTTGTTAGGTTAGCATTTAATTATACTGTATATATATTAGCAATTCCGGTCTTCTTGTAATTTCTTCTGTTTGTAAAATGAAAGCTTGTAGTGTTATTTTATATTTTTGTATGAACTTATAGTATGAACGGATAGTAAAGAATCTAAAGTCCCTATATCATTGGACCGTTTTAAATTTCTATATAAATGTATGTATATATATATTCAGAGGTAAGATTTTTATATATAAGTACTTATATATTTAAAAAGTATAAAACATGTATTTTTAGCTCACCAGAGCCGAAGGCTCGGGGTGAGCTATTAGTATCAAAGGGGGATGCTCCGGCGTCCGTCGTCGTGCGTCAACAATCGTCTTTTTCTGAAACTACTGGGCAGATTTACTTCAAATTTGGTCTGTAGCATCCTTGTGACAGTCACACTTGAATTTGCTCATGTCATTCCAATTGGCCCCTTTTAGGGGTCAGCAGAGCTAAAAATAGAAAAACCTTTAAACATCTTCTTCTACAGAACTAATTGATGGATGATCACCAAACTTTGTCTGTAGCATTCTTGGGTAGTCTTTTATCAAGTTTGCTCATATTAATTTGATTGGCCCCTTTTAGGGGTCTCTAGGGCTAAAAATAGAAAAAACCTTTAAACATCTTCTACAGAACTAATGAATGGATGATCACCAAACTTTGTCTGTAGCATTGTTGGGTAGTCTTTTATCAAGTTTGCTCATATAAATTTGATTGGCCCCTTTTAGGGGCCACTAAAGCTAAAATAGAAATACCTTTAAATGTCTTTTTCTAGAGAACTAATTGATGGATGATCACCAAACTTTGTCTGTAGCATTCTTGGGTAGTGTTTTATCAAGTTTGCAATTTGATTGGCCCCTTTCAGGGGCGACTAAAGCTAAAATAGAAATACCGTTAAATGTCTTTTTCTAGAGAACTAATTGATGGATGATCACCAAACTTTGTCTGTAGCATTGTTGGGTAGTCTTTTATCAAGTTTGCTAATATTATTTTGATTGGCCCCTTTTAGGGGTCTGTAGGGCTAAAAATAGAAAAACCTTTAAACATTTTCTTCTACAGAACTAATGGATGGATGATCACCAAATTTTGTCGACAGCATTCTCGGGTAGTGTTTTATCAAGTTTGTTCATATTAATTTGATTGGCCCCTTTTAGGGGCCGCTAAAGCTAAAAATAGAAATACCGTAAATGTCTATTTCTAGAGAACTTATTGATGGATGATCACCAAAGTTTGTCTGTAGCATTCTTGGGTAATCTTTTATCAAGTTTGCTATGTCTATTTCTAGAGAACTTATTGATGGATGATCACCAAACTTTGTCTGTAGCATTCTTGGGTAATCTTTTATCAAGTTTGCTAATATTATTTTGATTGGCCCTTTTTAGGGGCCGCAAAAGCTAAAAATAGAAATACCATTAAATGTCTATTTCTACAGAACTAATTGATGGATGATCACCAAACTTTGTCTGTAGCATTCTTGGGTAATCTTTTATCCAGTTTGCTCACATTAATTTGATTAGCCCCTTTTAGGGGCCGCTAAAGCTAAAAATAGAAAAACCTTTAAACATCTCCTACTTCAGAACCAATTGATGGATGGTCACCAAACTTTGTCTGTAGCATTCTTGGGTACTCTTTTATCAAGTTTGCTTATATTAATTTGATAAGCCCCTTTTAGGGGCCACTAAAGCTAAAAATAGAAAAAACCTTTGAACATCATTTCCTACTGAAATAATTGATAGATGATCCATTCTTAGGTAGTCTTTTATCAAGTTTGCTCATATTAATTTGATTAGCCCTGTTTAAGCTAAAGCTTAAATGCCCCAGGTCATGGAATTTCTTCAAAATATTGTTGAAACATATTCTATGCTCAAGTTTAATATGAGAATATATTGACATTCCAACACAGAAAAGCAGTTGTTTCTGGTGAGCGACTCAGGGCCATCATGGCCCTTTTGTTAAATATTTTTATGTTACATTTCTACATTTATATAAAATATTGAAATTATATAATTTGGATTGACTTAAAATCCAATTACACATGTAAAAAAATGATATATACACAAATAAATGAAATTGATTGCAAATTACATGTAGATAAAATTTGTATCAAAAATTGTTTTGCCAGTTTTATATCTAAGAAAACTTACCTTATTATATAAATTCACCTGCAAATATCCAATACAGCGGGGTTGTTTTTTTTTATTATTTTATTTTTTTTTTCTGAGTAATTGTCCATTATGGAAGGGTTTATTAAAGTGACATTATGCTCTTTTTTTCATTGTCAACATTTTCAAGTGGAGTTGAATTGACCATATACTTCAAAAGATTGACTGTTATAAGTGATTGATCAACAATTGATACTGGAAAAATTATATTAGAAAATATAAATCCGCCTAAAATATAAAGAAAGACTAACCCATTCTTTCTATTAATTGAAAGTTACAGGTAAATTCCGATGGGTATTTACAGAAAATTCTTCGGACCACATTAGTTATTTATCATCCATCGTTCATGCAAAATACATTATAAAATTGAAAGGAATTCTGGAAAAACATAATTTTATTTTGACTCTCATCTGTCTCATTGGATGGGCATAATGTTACTTTAACATTTTTCCATTTTGAATAATACAAACCTGATCATGTTTCATGCCATATTATTTGCATAATTCACATGTACCTGTAATGTATATCAGTTATCCATTTAATATGTCTAACGGTAGGTTTACATTAGTGTTGACTTTTAAATTTAACATATTTCATTGGCATCCAATCATATGTTGTTGCTGTGTATTGTTATACCCCCGCACAACAAAGTTGTAAGGGGGGTATACTGGAATCAGCTTGTCCGGCTGTCCGTCGGTTTTTTCTTGTCCGCCCAATAAGATTCCTTTGACCCTTAGTCTTCATATTTGGCATGGAGGTTAGTCATGATGAGTAGATGACCTCTATTGATTTTGAGGTCACCGGGTCAAGGTCACAGGGGCCTTGACTTCAAAAAGCTTGTCCGCCCAATAACTTAAGATTGCTTTGTCCCATAGTCTTCATATTTGGCATTGAGGTTAGTCATGATTAGTTGATGACCCCTATTGACTTTCAGGTCAAAGGTCAAGGTCACAGGGGCCTTGACCTCAAAAAGCTTGTCCGCCCAATAAGTTAAAATTGCTTTGACCAACAGTCTTCATATTTGGCATGGAGGTTAGTCATGATGAGAAGATGACCCCTATTGACTTTGAGGTCACCAGGTCAAAGGTCAAGGTCACAGGGGCCTTGACTTCAAAAAGCTTGTCCGCCCAATAACTTAAGATCCCTTTGACCCACAGTCTTCATATTTGGCATGGAGGTTAGTCATGATTAATAGATGACCCCTATTGACTTTGAGGTCACCAGGTCAAAGTCACAGGGGCTTTGACTGCAAAAAGCTTGTCCACCCAATAACTTAAGATTGCTTTGACCAACAGTCTTCATATTTGGCATGGAGGTTAGTCATGATTAGTAGATGACCCCTATTGACTTTGAGGTCACCAGGTCAAAGGTCAAGGTCACAGGGGCCTTGACTTCAAAAAGCTTGTCCACCCAATAACTTTAGATTCCTTTGACCCACAGTCTTCATATTTGGCATGGAGGTTAGTCATGATTAGTAGATGACCCCTATTGACTTTGAGGTCACCAGGTCAAGGTCACAGGGGCATTGACTATAAAAAGCTTGTCTGCCCAATAACTTTAGATTCCTTTGACCCATAGTCTTCATATTTGGAATGGAAGTTAGTCATGATTAGTAGATGACCCCTTTTGATTTTGAGGTCACTGGATCAAAGGTCACAGGGACTTTGACTTCAAAAAGTTTGTCCAGCCATTAACTTATGATTCCTTTGACCCACAGTCTTCATATTTGGCATGGATGTTGATCATGACCATAAGGTGACCCCTATTGATTTTGAGGTCACTGGGTCAAGGTCACAGGGACCTTGACAAAAAAAATCTTTTCTTCTCAATTGCTAAAGAATGCCTGTCCGCAGTGTATTGATTTTCACATTTGAAGCATGTAGAATACATAACTTAGCAATGCACTGGCTTAGTAACCTCAGATTTGGCAGGGAGGTTGTCCTTGAGCTCTAAATGGCCACTGTTGATTCTGACAAAGTGGTATGCGGGGGTATTCACGCCATGATAGTGGCAGTTGTAGTTATGTTATATAAATTATGTAGCATCGACACCATGTCTTCTTGTGTGTACATGTATATTTGTGATGTTGATTCACCCATCTATACTACGCAATTACAGTTGAATTTACTTTACGCAAACAAGTGGGTTTTGCGTTATCCCATAATTCGACGGGAGGGGTAGGGTGGTCAATTTGTATGTATGAAAACATAATTATTATTGTGTGAAAATACAATGCCAAGAACTTAAAGACAATTAGCCAACCTGTAGAAATTATGCAGCTGAGGTAAAAATTGACCTAATAAATTATGTTTGCATTGAAGAATTGTGACATTTTCTGTCAATCTGAGTAATCAAGGGTCATCATGGCCCTCTTGTATTAAAATTTCATTTTAGAGTAGAATGTTAAAGATAGAGAGATAGTTCAATTTAGAAGATACTTTGTGATATCCAGGATGTATTATGTATTTGTTGTGTTCTTTCTTGCAATATGTGATTAAACCATTAAAATGTAAGCGGAAACTATAGAATTAGCTTTTTACTTTTTTCATCAAAGAAAGAAACGAGTGTATAACACTCTTATAGATATCCTTGTCAATTATATTTATTATTTCTCGTTTTCTAAAATACTTATCCCCCTTGTTGCTAAGGGGTTGCTTTTAAGGGTTGAGGCATCAGAATTACAGCCTCTGTTTATCCCGGCGTGATCATAATAGGCAAATAAATGGTTTCTAATTACTGGAGTCTTTGCATTTCTCAGCTCCAACAGGTGAGGTGGTTTGGACTACTGGTGTTCCTTTAAGTTTGTTGCACCTGAAATTATCAGAAATCATCTTTTCTTGTTTCAATGCCATATGACCTAAATTGTTTTTAGTGTGCCGTAAAACCAAACAAAAAACAATAAAATACTTACCTAAATTTTAAGTTTATTCAATGATGAAATATTACCTGTACTTACAATGGGTTTAAAATTCTGGCCCCGGTTTCACAAAGAATCTTAAGTTATTACTCATAATATAACTCAAATTATGTCTTAAGTCGAATAAACTACTCAACTGAGTAAGTACCTTTTTGTGCGTTTCACGAAAGAACTTAAGTTTGAACTCAGTTGAGTCGAAAGTTATAACTCAAATGAATCAAGTTATGACTCAAGCGATGATATTTTCAACGGTATAAGCTGCCACATCCGGTAACTCTTCAGCGCTCGCGCATCAAAAAGGTAAATAACTCAAAAAGTCCGCGAACAGCTGTCATCTGTGGTCGTGTCGTCTGTACACAACAGGGAACATATTTGTCAACTAAATTTAATGGAAAATAAATTAAGTAAACGGGCGGCGAATTGGGGAGAGACAGAACGGGCTTTTGCCATTCAGTTGATTCTAGAGAACCTTAATTCACTGAATGGAAAATTTAGGGGGGCAACAAATGGTGCCAAAGTGAAGCAGAAAACGTGGGAAGACATTTCTGACCAGTTGAAAGCGTGAGTATAAAATTATTCATCACCTGTATTTTTGTTTTTAAATTGATGATATATTTTTGCATTATAGATATTCATAGTACACCGTCACGTACCGTGAGTAAGGTTTCTAGAAAATTACGATTGTTTATTGTTGTTAATACACCTTAATATACACTGATACGCATGGATCTATATGGAAACAAGACACTTCATTCCCAAGACATTTCACCCTTCAATTTTTGAAGATGCTTCACCCTTTGTGTTAAACAGAAAACAAAAAGGGGGTGTGCAAAAAAAGGCAAGGGGTGAATTGTCCGAGGGGTGAAGTGTTAATAATATTACAGGGCTCTCAGACTCAGTAGGGTCAGTTAATAATATTACAGGGCTCTCAGTAGGGTCAGAATTTCACGAGTCAAAGACTCTTTGGCCAAAATTTTCATGAGTCAAACAGAGTTCCAGATAATTTTTTTGGCCAAGGGGTTTTTACCCCTCAAAATTTAGAGTGAGTGGTAAATTTAAAATGCAAATTCTGAAAAACTTAAGGGGTAAAATCTGTCAAAAAAGCATTTTGCATTTTTTATAAACAAATTCAACTTATTGTTTTGTTTGTTTGTTTATTTTCTTTTTTTAGAAAAGCCTGTACAAATTAAATACTGATTTACTGTGAAACAATACAAAACATGCAATGTAAAGTCAGACTTCCAGAGTATACTGGAACTCCAGTTTAGGATACACAGCAAAATTATCAGGGCTTCCATTTTCAAAATTTTGACATCAAATACTTCAAAATCTCTGATATTGGAAGTCACATGTTATAGGTAAAGAAGGGAAAGTATTGATTTTCAGAAGTCAAAGAGTAAATGACTCCCAAACTTCCACTAGTGGAAGCCCTGAAATTATTTTATTTTCTAAGAGTCAATATTTTCCTTTCTTTATTGCTGTTGGCGTGAACCTTATCATGTACTCCATTTTGAACAATTATAGTTGAAATTAGAATTAAAGAAACATAAACAAGATTTTTTATATCTTTCCTTAAAAAAATATTGGTCTGAGAGAAAATTGTCCATAACTGTAGACTGGGTACGAAAATATTGAGTACAAAACTGCAGGTGAAAAACATGTTATTTTGTTCCAACAACAAAAGTAAAAGATATTAAAATATATTTTTGTTTATATTGAAGCATAAGCATGTCGATAGATGACTAAACAAACTTAATACTGTGTTAGCTCCTACGATGATTATCTGGCACAAAGTTCATCAATAATTACACAGGTTGATCTATGGGAGTTACCTCCCTTCTGTATTTCCTGCTACTTTCGTTTTTAACATGCATTGTTGACAACAGAATATTTAGTTTTCAATGCAATAAAATGCAAATATATGGTATTTTTATGCTCAAAACATTTTCTTTCTACATATCAAATGTTTACATTTCTATTCTTTCACGCATAAATTTTGACATACGAGCGTATTTACATTTTGTTGTGCGTAACTATGACGCACGAATTTTGAAAGTGATGCGTATTTTAGATTTTCTATGCGTAATTTACGCTTATACGCACGTTTTCTGGAGCTCTGGTCAAATCATTTTTTTTTGTGTCATTTGACTACATGAATCATTTTTTAAGTTATAAAAATTACTGTATTGGAGGTCATTTTGTGTAAATTCTCGAGTCTAAATTGATACTATTTAACATGGAAAAAATGCCTAGTTATAATGTATATTAATGTGTAGGAAGTGGCTAGTCGTACGTGACTCACGTACGGCTAGAACTACTTCCTAATGTAAATATACCCCCCCACAAGAAAAATATAAAATAAATAAATGAACTGCTTCTTTACTTTGAAAGAATTAGATAAGCAGCAGCTTTTCTGATTACATGTAGGATCTATATTTTCTGATTATTGATTATAATATATAAAAAAATTATCTTTACTGGTATGCTATATTTATCATATTAATTTTAAATACCAAAATGTACTAGGAATATTTGATGGAAAAAGAAAAAACAAATGTACAGGTACTCCAAGTAAATCAAAGATGTATTTGCAATCAATAATTGACACCTCAAGTATGTAATTCTTATCAGTTGTGTAGAGCTATTTTTAGCGCTATCAAATTACATCCACTATTGTCACGCTTCAGTGCACAGGCTATAAACAATGATGTGTGTAATACAGGATGACATTTTTATTGAGTGTGATTTGAACATATGACTAATGTATAGGATTTGATAGGTAAGTAGGGATTGATTTAAGGTAATTATTGCATAGCTGAAAGTCCCATGTGGCAAATTGACTCTTGTGCAGATTTTATCACATGTCAAATTTGTGATTTTCACGAGTCAAAACCCAGATCAATCGAGAGCCCTGATATATATATGTTAAAGTTGTTAATATTATCAAAATATATATGTTTTAAAAAATACTAGAGTCAGTGTACCCGGTTATGCACAGGACCCGGTCCCGCACAATTGCCCATTTTTCATTTTTTCTTGAAAATTGAAATGAATTTATTCAGTTTTCATTTGTGTTACACTGAACTGGCATGTTTTCAACAGGATATTACATCATCTGGATTCTTGCACCCCAGCCTCTCCCTGGAGAGTGTAGACGAAAATGTAAATCCATGTACGTGGCTGTGTAGGTAATCGAAGAAAACATAACTAAATAGATGAAAACCTTTTTATAATAATTTTTTATGCCTGTGTTTACTACCTACAAGTGGTAAAAATGTATGTTTCTATTCCTGTTACATGTTTCTTGTGTGCTACTATGCTTGGAAAATAAATGTTTGTAGACTGTAGTAATAATGTGCATTATTCCATTCTAATTAATCTTTTTAATTAGGTCTGGACATTCGACATGTGACAGAACCTCGGCAGACATTAAAAAGATGTTTTGCAACATGAAAAGCAGAGGTAACTCTTCAATTAGAAATAAAATATATTTACATAACATACATGTACATTTATTTTCTTATTTCTCCTGTATTCTATATTAAACAATTGACATTATAAACATGACCAAGGCATGTGCTATATTTATGTGAGATAGACAAAACAATATGGTAACTTTTGTGTAAATTTTGCATACACTGAGGTATGTTTTAATAATGTAAATATTTCACATGTGTTGTCAACTTTTCATCTCCATATATTATAGAGCCTAATACGCCATATACGGTTGTGATACCTGAAGATGATTTTGACAAAATTATGTTGTCAGTTGATTCATATGTTTAATGAGTTTTAAATCACTGAGAATAATCTTTTTTTAAATTTCAGCTAAAGAAAAATATGATCTAAGTAAAAAAACAGGGGGTGGTCCTGTTGTTTCCCTGTCCCCGGTGGAGGAACAGATTGTTGACCATCTTCTGGCAAACAACAGAAGCCAGTTGAAAGGGTTGGAAACTGGAATTGATTCAATGTCAAGTAAGTTGTAAGCTTATAAATTTGATTTCTAACAGATTATAAATCATAAATTATGTACATGGATATCTATTATATACCTCAAAATACATGCATTTAATAATCATGAAGCGTTAATAAATTCAACATATTGAATAAAACAGTATTGTGTTAGTGACAAATCCATTAGTATGATTACTATGTTTGTGTATCATTTCACATTGGTCTCCATTTTTACTGTGCATTGGATATTGTTTTGAAACTGGAAACAATATTGTATATAGGTCTTTGTCTATATTTAAAAAATTATGTATACATCCGTCATTCGTGAATTTCATATCCTTTTTTGTGTGTCTGAATTGCTAAGGTATAACTCACAGTGTATATAATGAAAACTAATTTTGTAGTTGCTTTCAGAGGGAAAACATATATATTTTGTGAGACTGAGAATATAGGAACATTGTGTTATAGATGTATTTTATTTTTAATTTTTCAACCAAACTCTATCAGTTCATCATTGAATTCGCTAAAGAAATTAATTAACATAATTGTAAATTTCTGTATTCATACAAAATATCATTCATTGATAAATTAGTATGTTAAAATGGTCTGTATCTCTGATTATAATATCAAATGTATGTTTATTCAAAATATTTTACAAATAAAGGTCACCCTGAAAAATTAGTGCAGGATTTACATGTTCATGAAGTGCCTGATGTCTGCAGTGAAGTTGTTACAGTGCAGGAGGTGTTTGAAGGAGACAATCTTATTGACAGGTAATGTTTAGGATTGACCATTTTTGTGTCGCCTCTACGGAGTAGTGGCGACATATAGGGATCACTTCTCCGTCGTCTGTCTGTCCGTCTGTCTGTCCGTCCGTCCGTCACAAAACTTGTCCCGACTACTCCTCATAAACTACTGGTGCAATTTCATTCAAACTTCACAGGAATGATCAGTACCAAGTCTAGTTGTGCATATTGTGAGCATTTTCCGGTTCAATGATTTTTGTCAGAGTTATGGCCCTTTAATAATTTTTAATTTTAAAGTTTGTCCGGACTACTTCTCTTATACCACTAATGCAATTTCAATGAAACTTTACAGGATTGATCTGTAGCTCAAGTGCTTGCGCATATTGCACGGGTTTTCCGGTTGAATGATTTTTGGCCGAGTTATGGCCCTTTGATAAAAAGGTTTCTTTTTCTGTGTGTTGCCAGATACACAAAAGCTTGTCCGGACTACTCCTCATAAACTACAGGTGCAATTTCATCCAAACTTTACAGGAATGATCAGTACCAAGTCTAGTTGTGCATATTATCAGCATTTTCCGGTTCAATGATTTTTGTTTGAGTTATGGCCCTTTAATAATTTTAATTTTAAAGTTTGTCCGGACTTCTTCTCTTATACCACTAATGCAATTTCAATGAAACTTTATAGGATTGATCTGTAGCTCAAGTCCTTGGGCATATTGCACGGGTTTTCCGGTTGAATGATTTTTGGCCAAGTTATGGCCCTTTGATAAAAAGGTGTTTTTTTCTGTGTGTTGCCAGATACACAAAAGCTTGTCCGGACTACTCCTCATAAACTACTGGTGCAATTTTATCCAAACTTTACAGGAATGATCAGTACCAAGTCTAGTTGTCACTGTCCGTCTTTCTGTCTGTCCGTCTGTCACAAAATTTGTCCCAACATGAAATTGGCCATCATGAGGCGACACATGTGATTACTGATCGCTCTTGTTATGAAGAATGGCTTCCAGAATGAAAAAAATCAATGCTCAAGTTTAAAGGCATTAATTCAATCTGGTACATGTATCTCCTTTTAAATGTTAATTCTAACAAAAAAATGACTTCACACTATTCCTCTTTCAAACAGACAGGGCTGTCAAATGCATTATTACATGATCTATGCATGCCATATGACATAAGTAAATTAAATTATGTCAGGAAAATACTGCTGGGCTCAATGTACTTTAGCATAGTTTTATCAATTCTCTTTTTATAAGCATGTTTGAATGGAAATAGATATAAGTTTTTCTTGTAATGTGGTATAATAATGCACAGTTTATCATTCAAATGCCTTGTAATTAATAACACAGGCCTATCAACCTTCATGTTAATATTTATGTGCATTTGAACTTGAACTGTGCTTTATTCTACACTATTGCACTCAAAATTGATTTTAAATATCAGGAGCATATAGTAATTGAACCACTTTTCAAGCTGTCTTAACAGACTGAGGTGACATTAAATAGTGGAGTTTCAGATCCCTTGGGTCATGGTCAAGGTTGTGAAAAATCATTTTTAGCTCGACTATACGAAGTATATGGAGAGCTGTCCTACTCGCCCCGGCGTCGGCGTCCGCGTCCAGATTTTAGATTAAAGTTTTGGTGCAGTAAAATATTTTTCACTATAACTTTGTCATTTCATAAGGTATCAACTTCAAATATATGTTCCTTATCATCAACCACATCATATGTGACAAGGTTCATAACTCTAGCACCAATATTTTCAGATTTATCTCCCCTTGAACTTAGAATTTTCCTTAACAAATACTATTTTTTACTGTTACTTCTTTACTTCTTTAGGGATCAACCTCATACTTCAAATATATGTACCTTATCATCATCCCCATCTTATGTGACAAGGTTCATAACTCTAGCACCAATATTTTCAGATTTATCTCCCCTTGAACTTAGAATTTTCCTCAAAAAGTACTATTTCTTACTGTTTCTTCTTTATTTCTTAAGGGATCAACCTCATACTTCAAATGTATTTACGTTATCATCATCCACATCTTATGTGACAAGGTTCATAACTCTAGCACCAATATTGCAAGAATTATCTCCCCATAAACTTTACTAGAAAAATGTTATTTTTTATTATAACTTTTTTATTTTTAAAGGTATCTACCTCAAACTTCAAATACTTATTCCTTATTAACAATTACATTTTATGTGACAATGTTCATAACTCTTGAAGCAATATTTACACATTTATCTCTCTTTGAACGTAGGATTTTCTTTAAGAAATATAATAACTTCTTTACTTTTTAAGGTATCTACTTCAAACTTCAAATATATATTTCTTATCATTACACAAATGTTGTTTGACAAGGTCCATAACTCTAGCATGACTATTTCTAGAATTATTCCCCTTGATCTTGGAATTTATGTTGACAAATATATTTTTTTTACTATAACTTAATACATAAATATACATAATTGATTTTTCTTTCATAGTTTTGTCTACCTACTATCCGATAATATACTTGGAGAATCAATCAATTATCAGAATCAGTTGGGCTTTTCTAGAATTTAATCGAGTATACCAGCTAATCAGCCCGTCACTAAGATCTCATAATGAACCTCTCATTATTGCCTTGATTAAAGGATAAATTGTGTAAGGCATGATAGCTGTCTTTCATCATCCACCTGTTACATATTGATATAAACATTTTTTTTACACAAAACATTGAAAGAACAAGAGCACCGCTAGGCGGAGCATTATATGCCCGAAAGTGCTTTTTTTTTTTTAGTAAAGATGAAGCATTTGTAAGACATGGGACTAAAATAAAGTATTACCTCCTTCAAATAACAATCCTCCTTTGAAGTTTCAATATTGTGGTCCAAATGGAACTTTAAGTTATGTCCCAGAAACTGTTTTCAATTCTAAGGTAAAAGTGACCTTGACCTTTGACCTTGTGACCCAAAATCATAAGGGGTCTTTTACCCAATATGGACAATCATCCTATGAAGTTTAAACACAGTAGGCCAAATGATACTTAAGTTATATTCCGAAAACTGTTTTCAGTTTTAAGGTAATAGTGACCTTGACCTTGTGACCCCAAAATCAATAGGGGTCTTCTACCCAATATGGACAATCATCCTATGAAGTTTGAATATTGTGGGCTAAATGGAACTAAAGTTATGCTCAAGAAACTGTTTTCAATTTCTAAGTAATAGTGACCTTGACCTTTGACCTTGTGTCCCCAAAATCAATAGGGGTCTTCTACCCAATATGGACAATCATCCTATGAAGTTTGAACACTGTGGGCTAAATGGAACTAAAGTTATGCTCCGGAAACTGTTTTTAGTTCTAAGGTAATAGTGACCTTGACCTTTGACCTTGTGACCCCAAAATCAATAAGGGTCTTCTACCCAATATCGTCAATCATCCTATGAAGTTTGAACACTGTGTGCCAAATGGAACTTAAGTTATGCTCCGGAAACTGTTTTCAGTTTTAAGGTCATAGTGACTTTGACCTGTGACCCCAAAATCTAAAGGGGTCTTCTACCAAATATGGACAATCATCCTATGAAGTTTGAACACTGTGGGCCAAAAGGAACTTAAGTTATGCTCCGGAAACTGTTTTCAGTTTTAAGGTCATAGTGACCTTGACCTTTGACCTTATGACCCCAAAATCAATAGGGGTCTTCTACCCAATATGGACAATCATCCTATGAAGTTTGAATATTGTGGGCCAAATGGAACTTAAGTTATGCTCCGGAAACCAAATTGCTAACGTTTTCAGTTTTAAGGTCATAGTGACCTTGACCTTTGACCTTATGACCCCAAAATCAATAGGGGTCTTCTACCCAATATGGACAATCATCCTATGAAGTTTTAATATTGTGGGCCAAATGGAACTTAAGTTATGCTCCGGAAACCAAATTGCGGACGGACAGACGGACGGACGCCAGGGGGTATAACATAATATGTCCGAAATTCTTTCGGGCATATAAAAAAAGTGAAATACCATGTACTTTGCATGCAGAATTTTTATTTTATTTCATGCATAAATCTTATAAGTCTGTAGTTATTTGTAACATGTATTTAATATTATTATATATGTTATTAACTTATTATTTCAGCAATAACAATACATTAAGCTATGTGCCACTTGGAGAGAAAACACAAAACAAGCCAAAGAAAACAAATGTATCAGCTAAAAGAAGACATGAAGACAAAGAAGATGAGTTGTATTTACTGGAGAAAAAGAAAATACAGGCAGAAATTAACCAAATAGAACAAAAAACAGAACATGATAAAGAACTTTTCTTACTTCAAAAAAAAATTCTAGAGAAACAAATCAACCAATTATAGATATATTTCAGCCTTGTTGTATAACTGAAAAGACATGTTGTGTTATGCCTTCAGTTGTATATCTATATGTTAGTCTTTTTGTATTATCTTGTACACTTTGCTTGTTTACACCTAAGCAATATTCATGATGATATTGTAAAATATTCATTCCAAGTTGACAAATCATTCTTATTCACTTTAATTTAATGATTCATTAAATTTTTGACAGTAAACAGAAACTATACAATTTTATCAATTGAAGTTTGATGACAAATGTAAATTTTGGTATATATTTCCTACCAATGTGTTATTACTTCAATCATATAATAAATCAAAAGAAATAAGATGCTTAAAAAATTAATTCATCAACAGTAAAACATCACTTTTAGAGATGGTATTTATTAAGTTTTTTAAGTGTTATAAAAAACACATCACTTTATATTTCATTCTTCTTCTTAATGCACATGAAAGTTCACAATTTAGGTATATCTTTGAATCCATGACTTTTTTTCTTGCTTTTATATTTCTGACAAGCAAAAGCAGTAAATAAGCTTATCTTTTGTCAACATTACTTATGATGTTCAACACTAAGATTTAATATAGATTCCGTAAACATTACAGATATAGGGGATATTTGTTTGTTTTGCATGTAATATTGAAATTTATTATATAATCTATAAATAGCTTTGAAATGCCTTTCCCTGATTGGCTAACAAGCAACTTTTTGTAAAAAATAACAGGTCAATATCAGAGTATATTCACTGTTTTTTTCCTAAAAATAGATTTTCAGAGTATATTCACCGGTTTTTCTTCTAAAAATAGATTTTCTGGAAATCCCTAAAAGACGTGAGACTTTGACGTGACGTCACGCCAAGTTTGTTGTTATTATTCTGAAGAAACGTTGAGTTTGGTGTACACAAGAGTCGAATTAGTCTATTTTAGTTACCGTTTTTCATTTTTAAGAAAAATAGGGATTAGCATGCCAGTGGAAAGGGCCAAATTATGGAAACAGTAGACAAGCTGAAAAATAATGATTTCCGTCGTATGCAATAGAAGATGTGATAAGCCATATAAAAGCTATTTATAGATTATATAATAAAACAGATATGTACTTTTTAGCTGTTGAATATGATGTGATATGTACTGAAAAATTAATATTGACCTCGGCTATCGCCTCGGTCAATATTAATTTTTTCAGTACATATCACATCATATTCAACAGCTAAAAAGTCCATATTTGTATAATATTTCACTGAGTGAACACTAGATGTCATATTTTCATGAGTGGCGTAGCCACAAGTGAAAATAGAATAGCCGGTGTTCACGAGTGAAATATATTTCAATCTTATATGTAAAACAAATTAATTTTCTTTCTATTTCATACTTTTAAGTATTTTTACTGATTTTGCCGCATAACGTCGCACACTTGGTTTAATTATATAATTTTGTTATTTATGTACAGATTTGATTTAAACTTGAACAAAACAAGTCTTGCTACCAAAATAATTTAGACTTGACCTTGACCTTTTATTGACCTTTAATCTTAAGGTCAAATTAATGAAATTGTATTGTTTTTTTCTGTAAATGGCACTAATAACTTTGTTGTTTAAAAATGTTATTTAAAAATGGATTAAATTCATATAAAGACATGTTATCTTTTAGGTAAGGACCGCCATGTTTATCAAACTCAAATTGAACTTGACTCATGTATGACATTGACAGTCAAATTATTTTATTTTCACTGAATATTGCTATAATGGGCTGTAACTTTGTAATTAATCAATTGATTATTTTCATACTTGGCCAAAACAACCTTTTTGACAAGTCATTCTTTAAAAATTTGAACTGACCTTGACCTTAATTTTTAAATGACTTTGACCATCAAGGTCAAATTATTGAACTTTGGTTAAGTTGTCATAATTTTGTTATATATGTACAGAGTTGATTCATATGTTGAAAACAACACTTGTGACCAAACAGACATTTGGAATAATTTAAATCATGTAAATATAACCTTAACCTTTTAATCACCTTGACTGTCAAATCTTTGATTGTTGATTATATTTTCTGAACTTCTGCATTTATTTATGGAAAGGATTCATGTTGGACAAAACAACAAGTGTGACTAGACAGACCTATTGAAATTTAAAAAATGAAAAAACTGTTTTTTTCTAAGTTTCTTTTAAAAGATTTGTTTGAACTGTTTATTTATTTGCTCTTAGAAAAAGTTATCAACTTTAGCGTTGCCCTGACCCAACAATTGCTCTAAATTTCAATGATTTATTTATTTTGGAGGCTGTGATCAACTATTTTTACCTTTGAATTTATCTTGGTATACATAAATAGAGGTTATGGAATGAGTGTAGTTTAATACTAAATTTATTGAACAGTTGAATAAATAGAGGATATTGAATGAGTGTAGTTTAATACTAAATTTATTAAACGAGTTGAATAAAAATCATATTATGCGAGCCTCTGGCGAGCATAATATTGTTTTATTCAACGAGTTTAATAAATTTAGTATTGAATCTACACGAATGTGATATTCTATTTATCACATATATAAAATAAGAACAGTAAACTGTTAAAATGAGTATTTTTTTTAATGACGCGCCCATAGAGTAACGCTAACATTAGCGCGCTTTAACGTTATGTTTATATATAGCGCAAATGACGTCACGTCAAAGTGTTATTACACTAGTGTAATATCGTTTTTATTAAATGGCTTTATTACACTCCTGCGCCGCGGTTTATGTGATAAAATCATATTATGCGAGCCTCTGGCGAGCATAATATTGTTTTATTCAACGAGTTCAATAGATTTAGTATAAAATCCACAGGAATATAATATTCTATTTATCACATATATGAAATAAGAACAGTAAACTATTAAAAATGAGTTATTTTTCAATGACGCGCCTATAATGAAATGCTAACATTAGCACACTTCAACGCTATGTTTATATATAGCGCTAACTACGTCATGTCAAAGTTTTATTACACAAGTGTAATATATTTTAATAAATGGCTTTATTACACTCCTGTGCCGCGGTTTATGTGATAATGTCTTTTAAAGGGAGACACAGGCAAAAGTTTCTTTTTCTTCGATTTGAATTCTATTTGTACAAAATGCTTCAAGCAGTCTTAAGATGTCAATATACTTAATATATTTTAATTGTTATTTCTTAACAAAAATCAGCCCTTAATCCTTTTGTAAGATGTTAAAAATGTTATGAATTTGAATTGATGATTTTTTATGCATATCAGACTGAATATGTAAGAAAAATTGATGAGCATAATGTTGCCTCTTATATATACAATTTGATGACGCTTTATCTTGACTGTAACTCTTAGACAATCAATTATATCTCATTGATACATGTATGTTACATCATCTTATAGATCAGTAGAGGATTTGTATTGGCTGTGATGATTCTAAATCTGTGATAAACTTTGTTGCTTTATTATTTATCTTGTTTTACCAAAAATTAAAGATTAAATGGAATATTAATGTTCAAGCTATGTTCCTTTTATTTTCCATGACTGCTGTTTTATAAAATAGAATAATATCAAATGATATATGTAGGTACAGCATAAGAAACATGCATCCAGATTATTACAGCTACTGAGAGAATTTGTAAGCAAAATGAAACAGAAATTTTCATATGTACCAATTAAATTGATACTGAAAAGATTTTACTCTCCTCATTATCATATTTAAATACTAATTCAATTTAACAGCTTTTAACTTGGAAGATATAACTGGTAACTTGTTTATTTTCTAAAGTGATAATATACATGTATTTTGTGCTTATGTGTATGTTGTCTGTCATTTACAGCAGTAACATTAAACAACATCTTGTCTTCAACAACAAGACAGATTTATACCAAACTTCACAGGTGTGGTCTTCATTAATATTTTATGGTACATGTTCTTAAGGGATTTTCAGTACATATAAGAGATTTATTGATTAGCGTTGCCTCAAAATCATACTTGTCAATGTTTTTATCACAAGTGTTACATACATGTACTTATTTAGAAAATATCTGGAGGCACGTTAGCTATAAAAGGAGAGCAAATATAATGTCAAAGTTCAGGCAAAGTATGTAGATGCAAAAACATCCCTATACCTGGCTCCAGCTTGGTCATTTTGTAAATCAACATTATCTGGAGACTCAAAAGTCAAACTAACTAGTCTTTCAAATGTGTCGCCACTCTCCATCCCAAAATTATGTAAAATGACACAGGAAACGATAACCTGTGGTGTGTGGCAGGTTTTCACCCTCAGTCCGTAACTCAAACAAGGGAAACGCCTCTTCATGACTCCAAATGTCTGCTCTACTGTAACCCTCGTTTTTGTTAATGATGAATTGAATCTATGTAATTGACAACAGACAAACCAAATTAATAATCCTTTTAAACAATAATTCAATATAATGTCTCAAATATTATTTCTTCTCTACTTTGTTTAAACTGATTAGGATATTCAAAACATCAATGAAAGAATTAACTTTGAAGTACATGCATTTGATATAAAGGTTTTTTAAGGAACGTGTATCATAATGATATGATTGTATATTATCATGCATTGTAATGTCAAGATTATAGTTGATTTAACAATACCTTTCTTGAGCAGCAGTTTGGGGATTCATATATGGTGTCATTAAGTACTGTTTGCATGGGTACCCAGAGTCTCCAAGCAGAAGTCCATCTATTTCTCCTTAAATTATAAGAAGTCGTTATTTTATCATTTATTTCATTTCATATATGTCATGTATGTTACATTCATCAGGCAATTTTGTAATAATTTCATAACAACCACTTATTAAGGCTGACATGCTTAAAAATAGAAAGCTAGTGAATTAACATTGTTATTTAAGAAAACAAATAAATACTTTACCATTCTCAAACTTTCTACACAATTCTGATTCCCTGAAAATTCGGCTGTCATGCACACTCCCTGGCCACTTTGCCACAACATTAGTTACTCTGAATCTTGCATCACACACCATCTGAAATAGATACATGTAACCTGGACATACATTTATCAACAGCTGTTCCCTAATGATAATGCTTATAGACAATTTGGTGTATTTGTATCTACAGTTGAGAATTTAAATTAAAGATTAAGACTTGTTCACTAATTTTACTTTAAAGAAAATTGTTTATCACCTGTTAGTATTACTTATCTAAAGAATAATAAATAATGGTGAATGACACACTTTATTGGTTATATTACCTGTACATTTATAGAATGGTAACCTTTTCTGTTTACAAAGTCTGCTTCATTCTCACTGGGTCCTTTTATCCTAATCTGTGTTCCATCAATTACGCCAATCACTTTTGGAAACTCTGTAATATAAAATGTAAATGAAAGATATGTTGATTATGAAATAAGTACATAAAATTTATAACTTTCATCAGTTCAACTTGTGGCACTTTAAAATGGTTTGAAAATTAATATAGAAATTTTCATTTTTATTGAAACACATGCTTGGTTCATATAAATTGATTTGTTAAATTAATTACATTTTAATTTTGATTTAGTTGAAGTTCATCATCTGAAAATACCCGGGTAGTTTGTTTATATAAATGGGATGATACATAAGACTTATGTTCAGTTGCACACATGGAGCCAATATGGAAAGTACTACCAGGTTCCATATGGGCAATCCATTTTAAAAAACATGAATATATCAATTAGTTTGTTCCACTATGAAGTATTGATACAAATATAAAGCACTTATGGGTTAACAAAAGCAAGAAACAAAGGTTCAAGCTCATGATTGTCTTGAAATTGTCTTAATATTCCTTTTTAAGGACCTGTCTGGACATAAATACAAAATTTCATCATAATTTTACTTTAAGTTTTTCAATCACATTCATTCTGTTGATGCTTTTACATAATTTATTCTGCCTTTGCAATGTTTTATTCAACTGACTAAACCATTTATCCCATGGCATATATATGTGGTGTTGGTTTATTTCATTATAAATTTTATTAATTGTGTTAAATTACATTCTTTTTTATTTCAAACAAAAAATTTAATAAATTTAAATACCTTCTTTGATTATGGAAAACATGTATAGGACCTGTATATGCACTTTTCCAGATTCAGCCCATAGGCATGCATTGTATGTATATTGGACCCATTCATTGAACCGTTTAATTGGTCAAATATGGGTTTTAAATGTTGGCACACTAGAATGGGCTTTTTTTCCTTTAGTACATGCATTTCACATGGGATGAAATCTAATTAAATGGACTTGTACTGAATTGATTTCTTATACCATGTTATTTTTGCTTTTGAGTACCACAGCTTTTTGCTGTAATTTATGGAACAAATATGGTCTACTCATAACTGCATATTCTTCACTATATGATAAGTACATAGACATGTATGTACTGTACATGTATATAAATTTATTACATATTATATGGTACTATGCATCATTCAAAAAATAACTATGATTATTAAGATAATAGGACATACCAGTATACATATATACAAAGGTGGATTGGTGAGCATTCTGAATCATTAACTTACTAGGTAGGCCCATAGTTTTTTAATATTTAATTTTCCTTAAATTTATTAAATCAGTATTTTATTTGACAATTATCAAAATACACACAAGTACATGTAAATATGAGATGTACAGTATGATTTAAATATATAAATTGGGTTACTGATGAGTAACTAGATATACAGTAACCAATTATTTATTACTGTTATAATCATTTATTAGGACAAAATACATTCATCATTAAATGGTTTTATCCGAAACAGTAGTCCGGAATTCCGGAGCCCGGATTTTCATTTCCGCATTGTTTACATTGGAGACGCAATCAACCAATAGTGTGGCTGGAAGCATTACTTACTTGCAATGTTGTAGAACTCCCGTTGTACAGCTGGAATGTCGTGGTTAGAAGGGAAATGGATGTATCTCTCCCTTAGAGAACATATGGCCGTTGAGGTTCTCTTGATGGCCCTTGATACCGAAGACTTAGAAACGCCATGTCTGTCTCCAATAATTACATAATGCGCCCCGCTAGCGAAAAAATTCAGCGTCATAAGAAGAGAAATAATGGGTGGGAGGGGAGACGATCTGAACGTGTCAAACTCTATAGAATTGGAAATGAGCTGTAGCATGAAGAGTATGGACTCTGGTTCGAATCGATATCGTTCCCTCACTTCTGTACGTGACAGAAATTCCATAGGATTAATTCTGTCGGGTATAAATCTCTCGACAACAGTATTTAAACGACGGCGTCTGCGAATACGCTCGATGCGTCTCATAAAGTCTGCCATATTTGAGTAGTAATTTAAGGTAGCTTCTTAGCTGTCTCAAATTATCAGACTCAACTCAAGCCTTGAGTATTTTGATGAGTTGATTAAAGTTTCGTGAAACACAACTCAAATTGTTACTCAACTTAAGTTGTAAAATGAGTACGTAATTGAGTTTAAGTCAATACAACATACTTAAGTATTTTTGTGAAACCGGGGCCTGGGTATCTATATTTTTTCAATATAGGGAGGATCTTATCTATGTTAATGGTTTAATCTGATGCCTGATATGCTTTAAATAATGCACAAAAATAACAAACAATCTCTGCCACAACATTTCAGTGTAACTGAACACTCAGATAACTCCATTCCACGATAAATGTTATCATTCATAATGGTGGCTTTTTGGCTTTACTGGTGTAGGAAAATCTCAGATGCCCCTCAATGAATTATAAGAAGCACACTAAGGTGCCAGAGTGGAACCAATTACCTTTGGTAAGCTAGCTATAAAAGCTTTCTGAAATGAAAGAATTCTGTCACTGCTGGGATTCAAACCAACGGGGATGAAAGGCAAGTGGTTTAAAGTTGACCATATTTGTATACGCAAGTCCCCCATAATATTGCCGTTGCATTGCATGAATAAATATATTTCTTTAAAAGCACAGAGTGAAGTTCTTTCAACAAGTTGCTGCATTAGAGAGCTTTCAGAGCCATTCCTTAGAGCATTATCATATTAAAGAGGGTAGACCTCACATTACTGTTTGATAATGAATGTCATATTCTATCTTGTTCATTAACCAAGTTTATTTCAATTATCTGATCAAACTTACAGACAAGTACAGGTATCTTTTTTAAGCATGGTGACCCATGCTTTGTTACAAGTACAAATGTATAAATGAGCAGCGCCATGAAAAAACCAACATAATGCATTTCCGACCAGCATGGATCCAATCCAGCCTGATCAGGATCCATGCAGTTAGCTTACAAATCATTTAAAGGATAGAGAAACTGATAGCGAACAGCATGGATCCTGATCAGACGTTGCGGATGCGCAGGCTGGTCTGGATTCATGCTGGTCGCAAACCAATTATGTTGGTTCTGTCATGAAGCGGCTCAAATACAGATCAATGTTAGAAACATCAAGTTTTCGCTGTCAGATGAAAATAAATAATTTTGTTGTTGTTGTTGCAGAACCAAGAAAGACAAGCATCTGGAGGACCATGTTCCTGATAAAATACCGTGGAAATTTAAAGGAGTTTGAATACCTTTACATACACTGTAATATTGAGCCATTAAATCAAAGCCTTATGGACAAATTAAAAATTGGACACAGTGAAGCAGACAACAAATTTGTAGTGATAATCAACACTAAACTCTTCTTGTAAACTCATCTTTACAACACTGAGAGATATAAATTAAATCCTCTTCTTAAGCGTAATTCATTCCTGAATGCTGAAAGTATTTGAATAAAAGATTCTGAGAGACTAGAAATTTTGACTTGCGAGTGTAATGGCTAGAGCTGTCATTGATTCATAGCAAAGCATACTGACAATACATCGATATCAGATGAAAAATATCAGCGATACACCGATATATAAATATATGCTCCTAATATTTTGTATATATTCCACTTTCATAGCTGTTTATATGATGTAAGTAAAATATATGCTCTGTTCATACAAATAAGTTGTGTGCTGTTTATAAATGACCTATGCATGATTTTTACCTAATCATATTTAGTCATCACTGCTATGAAATGTGTTCATAATGTAACCACAGCTTAGTGTCAGACATGGCCACCTGCTTTTGTATATGTTTTGCGTGAATTTTCATAATTTATAGACATTAAAATGATTTATCAAAATAATCGATTTTTTAAAATGTGTATCGATTATTGATGGACAGGAAAATATTAACGATATGTCAATGTCGTCTCTATCGATGACAGCTTTAGTAATGGTGGACATTTATCATACAGGATGGGAGTATAGATAACAAGAGCTGTCGGTAGAACAGCAACGCTCGACTATTCTTAGTGCTTGATAGTAAAAAAAAATGCTTGATACAATTACCTCCTCCTGTTTACAGGTTGGGGTAATGATGGTGAACAAGTGTGCAAAGTTTCAAAGCCATATGTCAATGGACTTTGAAAATATTTGAACTATTACAAAAACTTTAACATAAGTGGTTACGCCGACGCAGACGCTCAGGTGACTACAATAGCTCTACTTATTCTTATCGAATAGTCTAGCTAAAAATCATTTATGTAGAAAAAACAAAGATGTTCATTTCAAATTTATATCTAGCAGTTATATTAACTAGCAATTAATCAATACTTGTCATTAGCCAACTAAGCAAAACACATACATTTTGTTATGGAATGTGGATACAGTAGGTGATATACAGTAGATTATGTTTTATATCTCACTTATAAAACACGGAATCTCAATTAATTTCTGATTATTCATGATTGATATCAATACAGTTTTAAAATATTTTTTTATTGCTCATGTCTTTCAATTGGAAATAAGATTTTAGTCATAATTGTTATGTTCTTGTTTGTTAAAACGACGATCAAAAGATTATGTCTGTACTGTACATGTAGCTTGTCGTTAATCTCGTCCTTTTTTGTTGAAAAATAATTATCTTAGAAATGGTTATTCCTAGATAAAAAATTGTTATTTCCTATTGTATTATCATTTGGAAATATTTTTATTTAAGTTTAGTTAGGAAATAGATATTAATTTTGAGTGCATTGTTGTAGAATAATGCACGGGTGGAGTTTAAATGCATAGGAATATAATCATGAAAGTGGATAGGCCTGAGTGATTAATTACAAAGCATTTGAACGATAACCCATGCATTATTACACTGCAATGCAAGAAAAATTAATACATGTATCTATTTCCATTTCCATTCTAACATGCTAATAAAAAGAGAACTGATAAAAATATGTTGAACAACGAGTGTAGAAGTAATTTTTTCCTAAATTCTAATGTCATTTGGTTTATGACGTGCAAGCATATATTTTTTATGCTGTGCATATATTGTGTAATAATGCACTTGATTGCATTGTCCATTTGATAGGAGAATAGTGTGAAGCGTGTTAGATTATATAAACATTGTCAATATTAATCAGATGTGTGTTATGATTTAAAAAATGCAACTGAAATGGTATATACATTGTATTGTATATGTTTTTCAAACCTGACACAAAATTATGTCTGGATTTTATTCTAGATGAAATTAATATGACTTTATTATAGAATCTCATTAAAAGACATTAAATAAAAAAAAATATTTCTCTTTATGGGAGTATTGTGTTTGTATTATATTTTTCCTATTTACACTATGCAATGCTAATCTTCAGTTGCCTTTCCGTTTTATATTATGTCCCAGAATTATCTTAATTCAGTAATGGAGCTTGGAAAGAGACCTACATGACATTTGTGAAGTTTAAAATGAAAAACCTCCAATAGTTTATTGAGGCATATATTTCCATTAATTTAAAACCTTAACCTTAAATTTCCATTAAAACCTTAACCTTAAATTTCCATAAAAACCTTAACCTTAAATTTCCATTAAAACCATAACCTTAAATTTCCATTAAAACCATAACAGAGTGTTATGCTGATGCTTGCCTGAGTCGGATAGTCCCCTTTCCTTTCAGATTGTCAAATTTTTTATTTTTTTTTGGCACCTTATGGAGCATCTGAAATGGTAAGTTCTGGAGAATCTGAAATGGTAAGTTATGGAGCATCTGAAATGGTAAGAATAAACTAACAAACATACCATTTTTTTCCTTATATTTCAATGGTAAAAATATTTGCTAGTTAACATTTTAAAAAATAGATTATAACTTAAATTGAACAAACATTTTTGTAAATTTCAACTTTGATCAATTAAACTGTGTAACTTTAAACTAATCTGTTGTAATCTGTTCTTGTTAACTTCAGATAAAGTTCCTGGCCTACATTTTTGCACGAGAGAAGCGACACAATGTTCCAAATCACTAATCACAGTATTTACATCACTGTCTGAAACCTGAAAGAAAACAAAACCAGTTATGTCCAGTTCAGTAAAATTTACAAATGGGTGAAAATGATATTTATCACATAAACCAAGGTGCAGGAGTGTAATAAAGCCATTTAATAAATATGATATTACACTAGTGTAATAACAATTTGACACAACATCATTTGCGTTATTAACAAACAAAGGGTTAAAGCCCGCTTATGTTAGTGTTAAACTAGCAGAGCATTGAAATATGACTCTTTTAACTGTTAACCATTCTTACGACATGACGTCATTTAAGTTATATACAAACATAGCTTTAAACGATAATGTTAGCGTTACACAAAGCGTCATTAAAATATGACTCTTTTTAACTGTTTACCATTCTTATGATATTATTCAACTCATTCAATAAATCTAGTATTAAATCTTCACTTATTCAAAATCCTCTAGCTGTCTTACATATAAGATGATTTGACATATTCACACTATAGACATATAGTTTCTTCATCTGAGAAGAACCACCGACTTTTTGTAAGCTAGCCGTATAGTTCCCTCATCCAATTAGAATCGCTGACTTTCTGTAAACTAGCCGTCTACTTTCCTTATACAAATAGAACCACAGATTTTCTGTAAGCTTCCGTATAGTTTCTTCATCTGAGTAGAACCACTGACTTTCTGTAAGGTAGCTGTATAGTTCCCTCATTCAAGTAGAATCACCAACTTTCTGTAAACTAGCCGTTTAGTTTCCGAGTAGAACCACTGATTTCTGAAGCTAGTTGTATAGTTCCCTCATCCGAGTAGAACCACTAGCCTTATACTTTCCTTATACGTATAGAACCACAGACTTTCTCTAAGCTAGCCATATAGTTTCTTCATCTGAGTATAACCACTGACTCTGTAAGCTAGCCATATAGTTTTCTTATACGAACAGAACCACTGACTCTGTAAGCTAGCCGTATAGTTTCCTCATATTAACACTGGCAATCATTCATCAAAACAAAAACCATGAGACATGAATTCAAAATCAATAACCTTAACCATTCCTGTATGTATTAGTTGTACCAGTATGTACTCATAAAGATAAAGACCAGCATTGTGTAAATAAATGAATGTCTTCTAGAAAAAAGTAACATCACTATCTCTTATTGATACTAAAACTTACTTCAATATCAAGACATCTCTTTCTTTTCAAAGCAGGCTGAAATTGACAATGCTAGGATAAGATATTGTCATTTTGCATAATAGAAATTATTATTACCCTTCCAGATTTTTTCCACCTTTTTGATTGGATATTGATCCGTCGAAAGAAATTGATATTACCGAGCAAGACGGGTAATATACACACTAAATATACCCGTTGAGTACCCCACGATGTAAACAACATGCGTTGTGGCGATGCGCGTACGGTTCGATTTTACGCGGTGTAAATTCCGATATACAAGCACTTTTTAAATGTCAAATAAAAAATATTTACCAAAAGAAAGTAATGATAAATATTCTCATCAGTAATGAAAACAAAAATGGCCTCGCCAATGCTTGATATTAATTACAAAAAAGTGTCTTCAACAGACTACTCCTTTTCTCTTGTTTACATTTGTTAGGTACGAAAGCAAATACGTCATGTATTTATGTGACGTCATGTTGTGGTGAAGGGGTACCCCAAAGGGAATCTTATTTCGACGTTTCAATTGAAATAGCAATGATTTATTTTAAAATCGTACTAGGCAATGGAAGCGTAATAAAATTGTTATTTTTGTTTTGGAGTGATATATGTGGATATATTACCTGGCAAGATTTTATATCACCCTCGCCTAACGGCTCGGGTGATATAAAATCTTGCCAGGTAATATATCCACATATATCACTCCAAAACCAAAATAACATATATTATTCTGGAAAAACAGATTATTGTCATTCTGAACGATAAAAACTATTCTGGAAAAATGGAAAAAGAAATGATCTGAAATTTTGCACACAAGTCTATAGTCCTGTCATGTCCAGAAAAAAAAAAACACAGTGCAGTCCCTTAACCTAAAATATGGTTATTTTGTTGAAAATCAGCAATTTTTAACATTTTGTTCATCCTCCATTTAATCTAACCATAATACAATCAATGCTAGTTTTCAGAATCCAATGGTAATAAAATCAAGATCATTTGATCCTCAAACAAATTTATTTTGAGGTTCACCAGTGTCTGAGGTTATAACGAAACTCTCTTAGCTCAAACTCAGATCTCAAGTATTTGATTGGTCAGAAACTGTCTCAGAATGTTGAACGACCAATGAAAATCCTGAGATCTAAGAGAGAACTCAGACAAAAAGTTTTAAACCTCAAGGCGAGGGCAAAAGTCAGTACCTCCTCAATATCATCTAGCATATCTCCATCAGCTATATTCTTCCTCTCTAGAACTTGACCGACAACCTCTGTTGAACACTGGTTCCCATCTTTGCTTGTTTGTAAGCCAGGATACAATTTGGGATGACTGAGGGCATTATACTGTTGCTTCAGGTAACAAACTTTATCACTGTTCACATCAATTTCAGTAACCTGAACATGTACAATGTAAAAATGTTGAAAAATTAATCACAGTGATTTTTCTACCTCTATGTCCTGCGTCCAGAACATGATGAATTTGATGTGGATGCAAAGTTCACAATAACATGTGTTTTTATTGGATGCATGCTTTTTCTGTTTTGGGGGTCTATTAGAGTGACCTTCTATTATGCCCTAAAACAAGTGTAGGGAGACCAACTTGCACGCAAAAACTCAACCAAAGTGTGAGGCCAATGGCTGGGTGAGTACATTAGCTCTCCCTATTCTTTGAAAAGTCAAACTAAAAATTAAGAATATCAAAAAGTTCATTCTATTTTCTGGATAAGCACCACTTCTGAGCGTAAAGTCATTGGCTGATCAAGAACTTGTTCTAGTTGTTTTTTTTATATAATAGATATGTCTTAGATGTACACAACTTTGTTTCAAATGTTCTCCTCAATTTTTCAAAAATAAAATGCATATCCAATACAGATCAAATATAATTTTGACTTACTTTACTAAGGAAAGCAACAACTTTGTTCTGTAACTGTTGATTATCCCCTAAACATTCTGGTACAAGAGATTCATACGGCGTGCTTTCAGCAAATTGCGTAAATGATTCAAGTGATGTGTGGTGTACTAAACTATTTTTGTCTTGAAGTAATAGGCCATACAACATGGCTATCTTCTTTAGTATTAATGGTTGCTGAATGATATAAAGAAAATTGATAAAAGTGTAAGGTATATACTAGTATATTATAAATTAGGCACATATTAAACATGAATAGTCTAGCTGTGGTGAATTTCTTCATAATATACTTTATGTATTCCTATGTCATTTATGTATCTACACTTGTATAAATGAGTAAGTTGTATGTTCGAGGTTTTGAATTTATACTTATTTATTTTAGTTTGATTGTGTTGGAAGCTATAAGCTTATCGAAACACTCTCAAATAAGTTCCTGGAACCAACCAGTACTAAGCAGTAAGTGTAAAGGCTCTTGCCCAAGGAAACAATGGCATGCCCCTGACAGGGGTTTAAACCCACGTGGTCAGCAATCCATAGATTGTTAGTCTGGTGTTTTAACCCACTCATTAACATTTTCTCATCAAGAGCTCAAACCCATAAGCCCTAGATTAAGAGGCATACACCTTAACCACAAGGCCAACTCTCATCTTATCCAAAAGTCAACTATCTTAACAAACTTTCAAACATAAACATAAGTTTGTTCCAGAAAGTCTTAGATTTGTCTTGATTTGAATTTAAAACTTTCTATTTTCAATATCAAAGGTTGTGTTATCAAAAATCTTATAGTTTGACAGCCAACAGTACAACATAGTGGTCAGACTTTTCTGGCCTGATAAAACACTTGTGACGCAGGCAAATCATTAAAGCCGTTCACATTCAAAGCCATTACAATCTTGGATAAACTTACATTAGAATCAGGTGAAAATTTAGTTTTCCTACACCTTTTTAGAAAATGACAAGCCGTAATTTTCACGCCATCATAATCTGCTTTCACCAAGTCCAACAGTAAATCTAATATCTGAAATAGGAGACAAGATCACATCTAATATCTAATTTAATTGTATAACCATATACAAGTTTAACATTTATGTGTTATTAAATTTCTGTCAACCAATAAATTTTTGACTTTATAAACAAACATGTCTTCTTTTGACTGTTCCTTGCTAACTGAATGGTTCAATAATGAATTATGCAGAATAAGTACAGAGTCTGGTCAGACTGTACAGATGTGCGGACTGGTCAGACTGTACAGATGTGCGGACTAGATTGTATATCATACAAATTGTATAAGCATACCAATATTGCTAGTTAAGAAAATACTTGGGAAATTCTGAAAGACCTACAATCAATATTTAAATTCATTCAGTTACAAAGAGAAAACATATTACATAGAACAACTGCTTTATTAACAGATATCAAAACTACTCAAAAAAATTATTTTACAAACCATTAAAAAATCTTCATTTCCCAAATGTGTTATAAGAAATCCGGACAACTCTGTCAGCTTTGACAAAAAGTTACTGAAGATTGCCTCCCTTGTCCATTGTCTATCCCATAATTCATAGAATTGAGAAAGTTTTCCCTTGACACACGCCGGCAGAAGATCCTGTAGATTATTCTGTGTGCTCCCATGATGATCAAAAACCTCCACAAGATATGTCAAACTTTCCATCTAGAAATAGATCTCCACGTAAAAATGTTTCATTAACTACATGTATGCATATAATTTGACTTGGGTTATTGTTCTTGAAATAATAAAACATAACCATAGAACTCAAGGGGCACGATCTACATAGCTTTAATATAATAGCATTGTTAGTTTTGAATTTTGCAACCATAAACAAAAAAATTCAACCATATTTTTTGTTTGTTTAATTGGGTTTTATGTCACACCGACACAGTATTGGTCATATGGCGACGTTCCAGCTTTACTGGTGGAGGATTAGACCTCAGGTGCCCTTCCGTGCATTATTTCAGGCACAAACGGGCACCTGAGTAGAACCACCTACGTTCTGTAAGCTGGCTGGATAGCTTCCTCACATTAAAGAATACAAAGTCCCTGTCGGGATTCGAACCCACAGCGGTGAGGGGCAAGTGGTTTGAAGTCAACGACCTTAACCACTTGGCCACAGATGCCCCCACTTAACCATATGGTTAACCAGCACTTATGATGCAAAGTGAGTCATGACAATTAAGCTCCACTTTTTCTTTAAAAGGTAAAGCTAACAAGAGCACCCCATGCAGGTGTTAATGCCCGTCAGTTTTTAAAAAGGTTAAAAAGGGGCATAACTCCAAAAATACTGCTTTCAGAATTATGTCCCTTGTCTTACAACTGTATGTTGTAATGATTAGAGAGTATCCAATGTTTCATGTTGGTAACTTTAAAAATGTTAATAATGGGCTACATTAAAGTTTAGCATGACATTGATAACAACAACGCTTCAGCAATCATAAAAGCTAGACTATTTCTATGAAACAGATGAGCTAAAAATGATCAATTATTGTATTTTATAGGGAATATATTTTTAAGATTTATAAGAAAGTTTGTCATACATGTTTACAGAAAAATACTTATATGACTTAATACTTAATTCAAATTTAATTCTTCTATTCTGACTTGTAGCAGTTGCATTATACAAATAAAATGTTTACAATTTACTTACCAAGAAAACTAAATCAGTGTAAGTTCTGTTACTTTTGGAAATGAAATTCTCTACATCTTTAAGCAGATGTTCAATCAACAGTTGCCACTTGTCAGTAGATATTGTTGTAGGTAAGACAGACAAAAATATATCACACCACAGTCTAACATGTTTGTCAGGTGGGAAACACTTCATCAACTGGTTCTGAAATAACAAAAATCAAGAGCACTAATCTATCAAAAAGGGACCTAACTCAAAAATATTTCTATCAGAATTATGCCCCTTGTCCAACAACTGCACCCTGTCATACATAATCAGCATTAGTATTCAAAGTTTCATGTTGATAATTACAATGTTTGAATAATGGGCTACATCAAAGGTTTTGCACAATAATGACGATGACAATGCCACAGCGATCATATTAGCTCAATTTTTTTTCCATAACTGTCAAGTTAACATTTCAATATTTAATAACAGGACAAAAATGGCTAGAAATATGGCAAATATTATGATAAACTAATTTTCTACAGTGAGTGCCTTCCTTACATGAATCAATTGAAAGTGACAACCTAACACAACACACATATCTTGTCTTTCAAATAAATGTGCCAATAAATCTAATAACAAGTCTGCCACTGGAAGCAGGTTTATCAACTTTTCAATTGATGTTGCAATGCCAGGAAACCTGAGCCGGTGCTAGGGGGGGCGTGGACGGTAACTTGCACTTTCCAGTACTGTCCATGAACAGGCTCAATCAAACCGAGCCTGCAACATTTTACAATTTTGTCATGTTTCTTTAGGGATACAGTTTTTTCAATATTTCAACAAGAGCCATCACAAACTGAGCCCACACAATTGGATTTTTCTTATTACCAAAGGTGTGTTTCATATGGCAATAAATAATAAATTAACATTATTAACGTAACACAAAATCATTCCATTTGAGACATTTAAGTTGTACTAGATTACTTTCTGTAAATGCTTGTGGCTGACAGGTTAATTTTAAGGGTTGAGGCATCAGAAATCGGCCACTGTTTAACCCTGCATGATCATAAGAGGCAATAAATAGGTTCCAATTACTGGAATATATGCAACTCTTATCTCCATAAAATCAGGTGCTTTTGACCTTCTAGGTGTTGCATTAAGTTAATAATGATGTAACACCCTAGGTAAGCCAAGATCGTCTTTCCAGATTCGACGCCATATTACCTAAATTGTGTTGGTGAGCCATAAAACCAAACAAAACAAACAAACTTTAAAAAGCTGACTGTTACTGACAGGTCAGTCCTGCTTTACATTCATAAATGTACTTCATATAAATAGAGCAGTCACCACTGTAGAGATTGATACGATTGCAGGGATAGGCATACATGTTTGGCTCTATACTGCTAGCACTCAAACTGTTTAATTCATAACTACAGTGTAAAGACATTCATAAGGCTATAGCTAAAACGTTTATAGGGATTAGCTTACAAACACTTATAAGGCTGTAGCTAAGAAACATTTATAAGGCTGCTATAGCTAAGAAACATTTATAAAGCTGTAGCAAAGAAACATTTACAAGGCTATACATGTGGCTAAGAAACATTTATAAGGCTATAGATAAGAAACATTTGCAAGGAAATAGCAAAGAAACATTTAATATATGGAGGCTATTTGTTGCCAAAAATCCATCCCTTGAAACTTGACAATGCTCATTTCGGTTCTAATAAACAGATTAGTAAAAATCGTCGATCCGAAAGTTACATACTGCACTGGTATTAAGCATTTTGATTATCTCGATTTGATAAAATGGAAGCTGTAAACATGCAACTTAAATAAATTGCAAACTGTATTTATAAATGAATAACTTCAAATTTGCGACATGTAGAAATGTAAACGATAGAACGTACACAATACGTTTAATGCTGTGCATCATGACGTTGAGAATGTAACTGCATCAACTTGACACACTCAGGTTTACAACACCACACTTTCCTTTTACATTCTAACGAGATTAACATTTGTAAACGATTTTGCAACTTCCATATATGGAATTATCACGGAAAGAGACGAAAATTAATAGGGTGAGCCAATTTACACGAAAGCAAAATATGAAGAGAGGTAACTCTTGTACAAAAATATTTCACATACATCAACTGCATTACAGTTAACTTTGAACATCCTCTGATTTTGTTAAAACGTATTCTAGTGCAGGATATTCAAGTAATGCAAAATTGGTTAAGATATAATGTCACAATGTAACAACGGTTTTATTGATAATGAGCATAATAATATGAAAAAACTAAAGTTGGTGAATTAACATAAGGGAATGTTTTCAATATATAATGACACGCACCACAAGTTATTGACATGAACGATAGGGTTTGTGTGCCTTTAAACGTTACACAGTATTACTCCTGTGCATGGCTTTTACATTCAGCAAATAGTACTAGAATGCAATACATGGAAGTCACTTTTGGCAACACGAATAAAGAGAACTGAACAGTAAGCCTTGCCTTCTTTCTTTAAAGGGCTATGTTGGGTTATAGAAAAACCCATATTTCTGACCAAGTTTATAACCACGAAACAATTCAAAGTTTACTATCGATAATTACGTTGTATCACACAAACTTGTGAATTTGTCCAATTTTAATGTTGAAATAAATATTCAGTGTATCCTAGCATCTTTGTTTACCTCCATTTGGAATTATTTTGAGTCATATGATGTGATTGAGCCTTTTATTATTTAGTACATGTAAGCTGACGTAGGTTTAGGTATTTTATGCATTGTACTGAATCAATAGCAACTCTAAAATATGTGTATATATGCTGTTAGTAGCTGTTACCTAGACTTCCTGTCTATCTGATCAAAAGCAGATAACTATTTTAATGTACATGTTATACTACACAGAATATTCATTAAGTTTTGTAAGTGATGGCTTTCTAAAAGATAAAATAAAAAAGGTGTACATAAATTGATAATCAACATACATGCCTTTGGACTCATTTTAATATTATTATTGAAAAACAAAATGGTAAAAATGGGAAAATATATCCATACAGTATGGTGAAAATAAAAAGGTACATACAATTTTGGTTATAATTTTACTATTGTTAAAAGTTTTTTCTTGTCAAGACATACGCTAGAATTAATGTTACTAATGTAATAGTAAATGCTACTACTAGGAAAGACAACAGCCTTAATTTGGTCTGTATTAGTAATTAGTCTTATCAAAATCCCTATCAGATGTTGATTTAAAATTTTAAAAGTGGTGAAGTTAACAGTAGCTTAACTGTAAATGTTACTCATTCCTATGCAAATTGGAATACCCACAGTAAAATTTATTCGTCGTTGAATATAGTCTTATCAATAGTTTTTACTTCCTTGAAAAATATTTAACCTTAGGCAGTAAGTAGCCTGGTGAGTTTTTTATTATTATTTTTTAGTTTCTTTTTCTAGGAAATGTGTTATCTACAACGTTATAAAACTTATATGCCTATAATCCTTTAAAGTCCGCTGATGTTGATTGTATAAAGGCATAGAATGGCAATTATGCAAGTGAATTATGTTTGGTGAATAACTAAACAGGTAAACGGAAGTCGCCGACGGTAAATACCGAAAATGAGCGGATAAATACGTTTATTTACGATGATGTAGTGGGCGGGAAAATGGGCGGAGCTTATTTTATCTCTTATTGAAAAAGGTGTAAAGCTGGATTATGCTGATCCGAATCATGATGGTTCGACAATGTAAAGCTAAGAATGTAACTTCTGTTTTGTCGGGGTATACACGAACAAAGAGTATTCGAACACTTGGTATTGCTACTATCAGCAAAACAGTTAATGTTTTGTCGTTTAACAAAATGTATTTTATTGAATTGCATGTTTACAATGTTAAATCGGCAAACTCAATCCAAGAATGCAACATTGGAGTTTACATGCAAAGAAATACAATTGTATTTTGTCCGTTAACAAACTGTTCAACTCAGACAACTCAGATCAACAAGGCTGGATTTTTGGCAACAAATAGCCTCCATATTAATAGGCTCTACATGTACATGTAGCTAAGAAACATTTATAAGGCTATAGCTAAAACATTTATAAGGCTATAGTTATGTCATGTTTAACATATAGTCATTATAATTTAAACAATGACACATATAAATTTCAAATCTTTCTTTGTTTTAATAAGCTGTAATACTTTATCTGTACATGTATTAAAAAAACGCGATAAAATAAGGATTACCAACAGTCATATGATTCTCAAGTTTACTTAACACTATCTTTGGTACAAGGATGATCATATGATCCATGATATGAGCTGATAACTTTTAAATTTGATAAGGAAGTTAAAATTGTAAAGCAAGTTACAGACACATATAAACATGGCAACTGCTTTTTCTTCTGATGATGGGGAACATATTAATGACTTTGATTCATCCACAAGAGAATCTGATGAAGTCAGATCAATGCACTGTGAAGACTGTGAAAAAGATTTAGGGACTATCATCACAGCCGACGGATTTTGCGTTCTGTGTTATAAATTTTTGTGTTCAACATGTGTCAGATACCACAACAAACATTTTCCTAAACACAAACTGCAAGACAGCTCAATCATGCCACAAGATTTCTGTTTTGACAAATGTCCAAAGCATCCAAGAGAGATTCTTAAATTTTACTGCAACAACTGTGAACTGGAAATTTGCTCACAATGCAAAGTTGAGAATCACAGTGGAATTCAATGCCGTGAAGTTCTTCATATTCCTACAAGTGTGCGTTCAGACCAGATGACTAATGAACTGAGGGAGGTGACTCAGTCTATGGACATTGCTTTTGATAAATTAGCTGTAAGAAGGGAAAATACTGAAAGGAATTTGATCAGAGTACAAACAAATAGAGATGAAGTTAATGAAGCAATAGAATCACACAAATATGCACTAATAAATGAAACTCAGAACAAACATAAGATTTGCCTGAAGGACCAAGAAATGAAACATTTAAAAGAAATTAAAGCCTATGAAAAACGAAGAGCTGAAATAACTGCTAAGTTAAATAAAGAAAAATATGATCTACTTTACAGGCATCAGGAAGAAAACAATTCATTGAAAAAAAAGCTCCAGAATAACAAAATGGAAATACAGCAACAAATTGATACTCAAGCACAGAACTTGCACAAAAGACTGGACAAGATGAAAGAAAATGATCTTCACAAACTCAAACTT